CCTTGATAATGCTCTTGACTGTTCTGAATCCGTTGTCAGACAGTTCGTCTAAACCGTCCCAAAAGTACTTGACCCGACCGTCTGCAAGCAAAGCTTCTACTACTTGAAAGTCGAAATGACTATTTTGCGTTTTGATTGTGTTGGCTATGTAGGTTTTGAAGTTATCGACATTGTCTCCTTTTTCGCGGAAGTACTTCGAATGATCTCTGACATAAATGAGGACGCTCCAGGTCGTTGGAGCACTGATGTTTTTCAAAGTTTTCGCAAGAGTGGTTTTTCCCATACCGGGGTCGGCACACACGAGATTGATGTTGTCGTCTTCGCACGGCGTTAGCTCTGATTCTTCAATGAAAGTATCACTTAGTAAAAACTGAGTTAGGTTTTGGCTCTTTGTTGAACTTCGGACCCATTCAAAGCCGTCCATGGAAGAAAAGTAACGTAAATGGTAGCAATGTCGTCCACGAGGTACTTTTTTACATATAGTTGCGAATTCTTCTTTTGATATGTCTTTCTCGCTTAGTACTACGAACTCGTCTTGTTTGGTGCCGGAGTTTGCGTCAGTCAAAAACTCGTCCACGTCGATGGCTTCTACGTGCGGAAATTGCTTTTTGAATGTTGTTATTGAAGGCTCACAACTGACCACCACTAGGCTTTTTTGTAAATCTATTTTGTCCAAGAATTGGTACTTGATCATGTTCATTGACAAAAACCTAGAAATCGGCGACGGTGGAAGATCCTCTGGTTGCCCGATCAAGAGTGCTTCATCTGCCATCGCCACAAGTTTGTCTACGTCCAAAATAGCGACGATTTTTTCCCTCTTGTCGATTAATTCTTCCAACTTAATCTCCTGTTTACCTTGAATGGAATAAGTAAACGTCGACAATATCCTCTTGTACAAAATCTTCCATTTCTTCAGATTTAGCAAACTATGAAAAGGACGAAAAACGGAATAACTCACAACCGATTTAACATCAAAAACGATAAACTTTTTTCGTTCGCAGAGACTTATAGCTTTACGAGTTGCCTCACTGTCTTCTACCACTAAAGGACATTTACCCAACAACCACAAGAATTTCGTCCATTCTTCGTCGTTGAAGTCTTTTAAAGAGTTGACGCCAGATCCAAAAATTTGGTACTGCCTTGCGCGTTTCAAATATTCCAAATTGTTCACCGACTCTCTTTCCTTTAAACCGTACCACAAATTTTTAATTTTGGGGTAGGGATCACTTGAAAGGCAAATAACTTCGAATTTTGAGATTGCTTTTCGTAACAGTTTGGATTTTTTGCCTTCGGGTTCTTAGTCAAAAGACAGAAATCGTGTGGGTGATAGTATTAATAACGCAATCACGTGTTTGACGAAAGATGAATGCAATGTAGTTTTCAGACTCATGTTCTTGCTCCAGTTCCCCACGAAGTCTATATACCTCTTAAAAATTAGTTCGTCCTGACAACTAAATTTTGATACAAAAATCGCTCTGATGTTTTTGTTGATTTCATCAATGGAGTCGCAGTTGGTAATCAAGGTAAAATTTTCAAAAAAGTGTTCATAGTCTTGTAGGGCAGTTGCATTTGTAGCCGCTATTTCAAACCGAAAGTGTTTCTTCCTCTTCTTGATTTTCTTTATGAATACGTTAAACTTCACATTGTTATTCTCCATCACAAGTTCTTTCCCGTCAACGTCAAACTTTCTGTTGGTAACAAGAATGAATTTGAAAGTTCCAACAGTCGTTGTTTTTTGTCGATATTCCTCAAAATACTTCATAACACTAAAATCCCCCTTTTTGGCCGCTAATGCCTGTTTGGTTAAAATTCCTCCAGTGTTTGCATACTTCAACTGCACTGCATACGTCCCTTTCAGATTAACATCATTGGAATCCACGTCAAAAACAGCGTCGTCCATGGATCCAAAATCAGGGTGGTTTGACCACACGTTGAATTTTGTAATTTTTTCATTGTTGATCAGGTTCAACAAGAGACGTGCAACGTAAAGTTCTTCGAATAGCCCTCCGTCGTCGGTGGTTCCCGGACGTTTTTTAAAGACCTGTAGGTTAAGAAATACCGCATTTATAACTTTTTTATTAAACACCTGTAATGAAAAGTAACTTACGAAAGAGGGGTCATTTAGGTCCAAGAGGTTTTGATAAAACTGGAAAAAAAAATTTTTTCATTGACTTCTACAGGGTGTTTCTTTTATTTGATACAACCCCTGTAACTTTTTTATTCTTGAAGATAAACCCGTAGTTCTTTAACCAAATTTGTATCATTCTCAAAGATTTATATGATGGTAAGCACACATTTTTATTATCACTGGCGGTAGAACCGGAAATGACGTCAACTTATTTTTTTTTAATGGAACACTAGATATATTTTTTCATAAATGGAAAGATTGATTTTTTCACTACAAAAAATCACAAGCAACCAATATTCTAAAATCAATAATAAAAAAGTTATTTAGTAAAATATCTCCAAAATTTTCCGTTTATTTCAAAATCTAGTTGCTTGAAAAACAATTGAAAAATTGTTGTCATCACTAGATCTTTTAAAATGATACAAATTTGCTCAAAGAACTACAGATTTATCTTTAAAAATAAAAAATTTACAGGGGTTGTATCAAATAAAAGAAACACCCGGTATAGACTTGAGAATTGTAAGTGAGAAAATGAAAATTGTGTGTATAGATTTACCTGGGAGCCACTTGTCGACATATTATGTAAATGTCGTTCGTCATTGAAGACTTGTCGTTGCTTGGACGAATTCCTGGTTGAGGCAACTCTAAAATTAAAAACACCCTGTTAAAACACAAAGTTTCCGGAAGGGGTGGGATTTTGTTTCTCGATCGAAAAAAACTCGATAGCGATAAAATCTCGTTTGCTGATTGGTTGAGATGCTACATTTCTGTCACATTTCTCGATTCTGTCACGAAATCAAGTCTTCATGGAGTGATATTTTCTCGATAGCTCTGAGTGAAGTGATGAATTTTGGAGACATAACCTCGAAATTTATGTCAAAATACAACTTCAAAATCGTAATTCTGAGTGACAAGTTCTTCAAATTAAGGTAATTGTAAACTTTTGAGCATTTAACAAGCTTATATGCAAAGAATAAATGCAAACTTTTGCATTTAAAAGCTACGCAATGACTTGTCGCATTGTGTAAAGCAGGCTAAGTTTGAAATTGTGGAACGTTGCTCCATAAATCCATGTTGGTGAGGCGACAAAAACATTTTAATTGAGGAATAGATATGTTTATAAATTGTAGATTCAAAAACTTTTTTGTATACTGGGCAGATAGTTGCTTTTTTCCAGATATTTGGGAAAGTGGAAGAATTTACTATTTTATGAAATAACCGGAAGCAAGGATCTACAAAAATATACGCACAGTCTCGTAACAGAAAAATTGGAATGCCATCAGGTCCCATTGTAAGCGAATTTTTACAACTTTTTAAAGCAGATAAAATTTCTTTTTGTGAATTATTATTGATATTCACTAGTAGCGATGGATTGATTTCATAGTTGTTGGCAGTTGTATTGGAATTAGAATTTTTGTAGACTCCATTAAAATAATTTGCGAAACCTTCAACAATTGTATTCGGAGAGTTGAGTTCTTCATTATTATATTTCATTAAGCCGGGGATTCTCGAATGGCCTTTTTTGTTGTTAATATACTCCCAAAACTTTTTTGGATTTATATGCAGTTTATAAGATAAGACTACCATCTTGTAGGAAATGCTAAATACTACAGTATATTATAAATTACAACCATTCAAAAAACGATCACAGTCAGCAGAAAAAAGAGCTTAACATATGGTATCCTTAGGAAGATAATACACATAATACACCTTTTCCAGAATTACCTATATATTAATTTTTGTTTAAGTCAATTACTAAGTTTGTTTGTCCACTCTTTCTGTGTTATTATTAATTAATAAGTTTCACATTAAACAGTAATACTAAATTGTTGTGTTGTTTTGAATCTATTGGGTTTCAAACTTTAAAATTCATTTTTTTCGATATTTATAAATTGTGACTGATCGTTATTCCCGTGCAGCCTTCATATGTTATCTAATCTATTGAATTACAGCATATATTTTTCCAAACCACTTCCTTATGAAAATAACTGATTGAAATAACGGAAAAAAAACACAATAAAATGTCACGTTACATTGAAAACACAAAACTTCCAAAAAACAAATATACATATATGACAATTTAACGTTATATATTGTTTTGTTAACTAGATTACTAAGGACCGAAACATTTTTCGTCCAATGAATCACTTTACCAACATACACTGTTGTACATGTTTGTATCAAAGGGGAAATGAAATTCTAAATGGATACAATAAATATACACGAAATGATTATGCCTAAAAGATATTTAACAACGAAAGGTGTAACGATGGTCTCACAATTCGCACTGAGCCAAAATTGTAACTTTGTCACTGCTGTTATACCTTGTGTTATTTGCAACATCAGCAGAGATAGAATTTTTGTAAAAGCATAGAAAACATTAGGAACTTACTTTAGGTACACTTCTTCCTTCAAGATTGTACGTCTGGAAGTAAAAACTTAAATGTGAGAATTTTATTACGTTCTAAACTTATCTTAGATAAGGTCAAGACAGTGGCGTAAATAGCACCCCAGCAGACCCCGCAATGCGGGGGGGCGCAGCGCCAAAAGGGGCGCAGACCGTAACTTAACCGATATATTTTTTTAAAATGTGCAAACGAGTAAGTACATATTTATATTACTTTTTAAATTTGGTGTATGGGGGCGCTTACTACATATAAACTGCGGGGGGGGGGGGGGGGCAGTGGAAGTTAGCTACGCCACTGGGTCAAGATAAAAACACCACACTATGTAAATTGGGTTGTCTTAATTTATTTATACCATGTTTTATGCAACCATTTTTAATTTTAGAAGAAAAATATAAACCCTACTTTTGCAGTTATATCAACAAAAGAAATATTAATAGACCGAGTATAAAGTGGTACCAAGTGCCACACAAAAGAAAATTGACAGTTTATGGATATAGTAAATTTATTCCGTCAAAAAAAAATATATATACCTATATACTAATACGGGAGTGTTTTAGGTTTAAAAATAATGTTTAATGTAAATATCAGCAATTTAATGATCCAATCTAATCCTTGTCCAGAAGCTGAACAATGTGATCGTTGAGACTATAACATGCTAGGTATAACGGTGTTGCACCACTGCTATCAGTACGTTCCAAGGCCGTATCATTCTCAAGCAGCATTACCACAGTTTCATAGTGTGTACTTTTTTTTACACACGTAATAAAAAGGCGTCTTTCCGTATGTTGTATCAGTAACATTAACATCAGCACCATTCGCAATCACTACTGCTAAAATACCAGAAAGTTTGTTGATACAACAATGATGACGTTTTAAAAAGTTGATCATTTCGTAAACATGGTTGAGGTAACTGCGCTGCAAAAGATCATTTTCATCAACTTTCTCGCATTGTATTGCTCGAACTGCATACGAATAGAACTATCCAAACAAATTGATATATACTTGTTTTTTTTGAACATATGAATCAAGTCTTCGTAGTCGAAAAGAAGACAGTACTGTAGAATCGTATCTATGTTTTTTAAAAACAATTTCGTTTCGATGTTGGTCTTTTTTGTCAAGAGCGTCAAGGGTAAAACTCGAATGAAGTTTGCTTCGTGAAACAGCGATTCCTGGTGTAAGACCTGCCGAATTTCTTCTTCGTCACACTTCCGTAGCAATAAATCAAGGATTTTTCTATTTGCTTCTGGGTCAGGTTTCGTGTGGCGAAATTGTGGTGACGCCTTAACGACAAAAAGGTTTCTGTCGACAGGGAACTTTACCAATTGATACCTCTCGCACCACAAGCAAGCGACTTTCAACACGCTTCTACCGATTTCATCCACGTTACGAAACTCTTCATCTGGAAAATTTTCCACAAGATGGTGGTTCTTATACAAAACTGCGACATGAATTGGCGATTTTCTCGCCAAAATCAAATCAAAGAAAAACGGAACATTGTTGTATTTTGACTCAAATGTGAAGTTTTGGATGTGAATGGCTTTTTCTTCGTGCTCTGCAATGTAAGCAGCCGCCAAATATTCGCCGAAAGAGTTGTGGAAGAACTTCGGACAGGCTTGGTCACTCACGTCGGTTATAAAACCTTCAGGATCCTTACTGGTGCTGATTTCTCTTCTAATTTTATATTTTTGTAAAACCGTTTCGTCGAAGTACAGCCTCATAGCCAACGCTTTATAATAATCCAGTTGCTTATCTTTTACGTTAAAGTATCGATTACGGATCATGTCGCTCGCGTTCTCTATGTCCTCCATCCCTTCCTTCTCTCTAAAGTGGAAGTAAAATTTTTCCTCGACGAACCGTTCGTACAAGTCAGCGATTGAAAAAATTTCGTCCAATAAACGATTGTATTTGTGGCGATCCCTCAATAACAATTCCGTCAAAATATATATCTGTAAAGGAATCCCCAGAATGTCGTTGTGCGGAAACAAGCGAATATTATTCCTTATCTTGACGAAAATCTCGTCCAGTTCTGAACACTCTAACCTGTTCTTGAGGTACGTTTTCTGGTCGTCTTCGTCGAACTCTTTCAACGTCCTCGATAAAACGTGGAAGTACTCCTCTAGGTCTTCACGCAGAAGGTATCTACAAGTAATCCAGTGGCAAGCGTCTTCAGCTTCTGACAATTTATTGATAATGCGTTTGACTGTTTTGAACCCGTCGTTATTCAGTTCGTCCAAGCCGTCCCAAAAGTACCTGACGCGTCCTTCCGCAAACAATGCTTCTATTACCTCAAAGTCAAAAGTGCTATTCTGGCTTCTGATTGTTTCAGCTATGTACGTTTTGAAGTCGTCGACGTTGTCTATTTTTCGGCGAAAGTAAGTTGAGTGATTATTGACGTAAATGAGTACGTTCCAGGTTGTTGGAACGGTGGTGTTTTTCAAAGTTTTTGCAAGGGTGGTTTTTCCCATACCGGGGTCAGCACACACGAGATTGATGTTGTCTTCGTACCGCGTCAGCTCTGATTCTTCAATGAAAGTACCACTTAGTAAAAATTGATGTAAGTTCTGGTTTGTTGAACTTCTGACCCATTCAAAGCCGTTCATGGAGGAAACGTAGCGCAAATGGTAGCAACAGTGTCCACTAGGAACGGTTTTACATATAGTAGCGAATTGTTCTTTTGATATGTCGTTCTGGCTTAGTACTACGAACCCGTCTTGTTTGATGAGGGGCTTTTCGTACGTCAAAAACTCCTCCATCTTGATAGTTTCTATGTTTGGAAATTGATTTTTGAATGCAGTTATTGGAGACATACAACTGAACACTACTAGGGTTTGCGGTAAATCTATTTCCTCTAAGAAGTCGTACTTGATAATATTCCTTGACAGAAACCTGGAGATCGGTGACGGTGGAAGATCCTCTGGTTTACCTATTAATAGTGCTTTATCCAACATCGCCACGAGTTTGTCTACGTCCAAGATACCAACAATTCTATCCCCTTTGCCGATTAAATGCCCCAAACTAATCTCCCGTTTGCCTTGTATAGAACAAGTAAATGTTGATAGTATCCTCTTGTACAAAATCTTCTTCCTTTTTTTCAGATTTAGCAAATTATGAAAAGTGCTGTAACCTTCAGGCGATTTAGCATTCAAAACGATAAACTTTTTTCGTTCGCAGAGACCTATAGCTTTTCGAGTTGCCTCGCTGTCTTCTACCACTAAAGGGCATTTACCCAACAACCACAAAAATTTCGTCCATTCTTCGTCATTGAGGTCTTTCAAACAATTGACGCTAGATCCAAGTATTTGGTACTGTCTTGCTCTTCTCAAATACTCCAAATCCTTCACCGACTGTCTTTCCTTCAAACAGTGCCACAGATTTTTAATTTTGAGGTAGCTTTCAGTTGAAAGACAAGTAACGTCGAATTTTGAGATAGCTTTTTTCAACAGCTTAGATTTTTTGTCTTCGGGTTTTGGTTCAAAAGAAAGAAATCGTGTCGGCGATAATATCAACAACGCAACCACATGTTTGACGAAAGATAAATGCAATGTAGTTTTGGAATTTGTGTTCTGGTTCCACTTTCTTACGAATTCTATGTAGTTCTTGGAAATGAGTTCGTCTTGACAACTAAACTTTGAAACAAAAATCTCTTTGATATCTTCCTTGATTGCATCAGCGGTGCCGTAGTTGGTAACCAAGGTAAAATTTTTGAAAAAGTTTTCGTAGTCTTGTAAAGCGTTTGTACTTGTGTCTGCTATCTCAAACCGAAAGTGCTTCTTCTTCTTCTTGACTTTCTTTATGGATACGTTAAACTTCACATTGTCATTTTCCATCACAAGTTCTTTATCGTCAACCTCAAACTTTCTGTTAGTAACAAGAATGAATTTGAAAGTTCCAACAGTCGTTGTTTTTTGTCGATATTCCTCGAAATACTTCATAACACTAAAATCCCCCTTTTTGGCCGTTAATGCCTGTTTGGTTAAAATTCCTCCAGTGTTTGCGTACTTCAACTGCACCGCGTACGTCCCTTTCAGATTAACATCATTGGATTCCACGTCAAAAACAGCGTCGTCCATGGATCCAAAATCAGGGTGGTTTGACCACACGTTGAATTTTGTAATTTTTTCATTGTTGATCAGGTTCAACAACAAACGTGCAACGTAAAGTTCTTCGAATAGCCCTCCGTCGTCGGTGGTTCCAGGACGTTTTTTAAAGACCTGTAGGTTGAAAAATAACGCTTTTATAACTGTAAACACACGTAGTGGTGGAAAAGTAACTTACGAAAGAGGGGTCACTTAGGTCCAAGAGGTTCTGATAAAACTGGTTAGGGCTATTGTTATTCTGTGAAAAAGGAAAAAAAAATTGATTGACCTCTATAGACTTGGGAATTGTAACTTAGAAAATGAAAAATGTTTGTGAATAGATTTACCTGTGAGACACTTGTCGACATATTATGTAACGGCCGTTCGTCATTTGAGGTTTGTCGTTCCTTGTGTGAATTACTGGTTGAGGCAACTCTAGAACTAATACTTGAGTTGTGAACAGTTTTTCCAAAACTTGTCAAGTTAGACCAACTAAGCGGTAACGAAACACCGTGTTATTTGTTTCGTTTAAAGATAATGAGATAAACGTGTTATTAATATTGCCAACATAGTTTTTGACATTGAATTTCAATGCTTACTAAACGACTTTTTTTCTCGATAATATGGTACTATATCAATATACCACCATTTTAACATCTTTAATATTAATTTTCTTGTAAAATGTACGACATTATAATAAATTTATTATTGTTAAATATGAAAATAAGGTCCACCTTTCGTTCAATGAAATGAGTGATCAACAAAAAAACGTGGATTCGAATTAAGTATAATAAAATTGGTAAAAGCCAACGAAATTATGGAGCGGAGTGGGTGGAGTTACTTTTACTTTTATTGTTTAGATTTTACTTTTTACTCTGTCAAAATTACCAAAAATAACACATGTGGAAGAACAGAGTGAATTCTTGCCAAGCATATTAACATTCGACTTTGGAACTTACATTAAGTACACATTCTTCGTTGTACATACGTGTGGAGATAAAAAAAATGTGCGAATCTTTAGGTTATGAATCTAACCGTCAACTATAGTGTGTTTAATATAATGTTGAACGACTATTAATCAACCTTCAAGGCAAATATACAAGTCTGTATGTTGGGTTGCCTGCATTCATTTGTCAATTTGATAAATTTTTATTTTCAACGCAATTTGACAACATATTGACATGATTTCCACCGGATGTTCCAGACGACACTTTTAGCACAGCTTTTAGCTTGCCAGACTACAACATCATTCGCAAAGATCGTGCTACAATCTCTAATAGCTCTATTGAGTACTTATTAATTAAACTTAAGATAAACTTACAAGAGATTGCCGTAGGTACATTTTACAGACCACATGGTACTAATTTTAACAATCTAAATTTCTAAAATCTCTGTTATTTGAACTTGATAACTCCAACCGTTTTTCCGGAATCGACCGTTGAAATATCGAAATTTTTAGAAATTTTCAAAAATTCGCATTTCGCACCTATTCTTTCGAAAATGTTGCTCCGTGACCATCCACACCCTATATTTTTGGAATCAGCGTGTTGAGATCCACGTCCCTGAATTTTTTCAGAATTTTTAGACAACATTTTTAAAAGTGAAATTTTTCCCCCTTCTTCAAATTTTGGCCAATTTTTGACAATTTCGAAACTTAGCTAAATACATTTTCTGGTAGATTTCGAGCTCTGGAATTCACTTCTAGCCTCGGTACTTTGATAAATATGCAACCGCTTTTCCGGAATCGACCGTTGAAATAACGAAATTTTTAGAAATTCTCAAAAATTCGCATTTCGTACCGATTCTTTCGAAAATGTTGCTCCTTGACCATCGACACCCTATATTTTTTGAATCAGCGTGTCGAGATCTACGTCCTTGAATTTTTCAGAATTTTCAGACAACTTTTTTAAAAGTAAAATTTTTCCAATGGTCCCCCCTTCTTCAAATTTCGGCCAATTTTTGACATTTTCGAAACTTAACTAAATGCATTTTCTGGTAGATTTCAAGCTCTGGAATTCACTTCCGGACTCGGTTCTTTGATAACTGCAACCGTTTTTCCGAAGTCGTCCGTTGAAATATCGAAATTTTTAGATATTCTCAAAAATTCGCATTTCGTAAAGATTCTTTCGAAAATATTGCTCCGTGACCATCGATACCCTATATTTTTGGAATCAGCGTGTCGAGATCTACGTCCCTGAATTTTTTCAGAATTTTTTGACAACTTTTTAAAAGTGAAATTTTTCCAATGGTCCCCCCTTCTTCAAATTTCGGCCAATTTTTGACATTTTCGAAACTTAACTAAATACATTTTCTGGTAGATTTCGAGCTCTAGAACTCACTTCCGGCCTCGGTTCTTTGATAACTGCAACCGTTTTTCCGGAATCGTCCGTTGAAATATCGAAATTTTTAGAAATTCTCAAAAATTCGCATTTCTTACCGATTCTTTCGAAAATATTGCTCCGTGACCATCGATACCCTATATCTTTGGAATCAGCGTGTCGAGATCTACGTCCCTGAATTTTTTCAGAATTTTTAAACAACTTTTTTAAAAGTGAAATTTTTCTAATGCTCCCCCCTTCTTCAAATTTCGGCCAATTTTTTAAATTTTCGAAACTTAACTAAATACATTTTCTGGTAGATTTCGAGCTCTAGAACTCACTTCCGGCCTCAGTTCTTTGATAACTGCAACCGTTTTTCCGGAGTCGTCCGTTGAAATATCGAAATTTTTAGAAATTCTCAAAAATTCGCATTTCGTACCGATTCTTTCGAAAATATTGCTCCGTGACCATCGATACCCTATATTTTTGGAATCAGCGTGTCGAGATCTACGTCCCTGAATTTTTTCAGAATTTTTACACAACTTTTTTAAAAGTGAAATTTTTCCAATGGTCCCCCCTTCTTCAAATTTCGGCCAATTTTTGACATTTTCGAAACTTAACTAAATACATTTTCTGGTAGATTTCGAGCTCTAGAACTCACTTCCGGCCTCAGTTCTTTGATAACTGCAACCGTTTTTCCGGAGTCGTCCGTTGAAATATCGAAATTTTTAGAAATTCTTAAAAATTCGCATTTCGTAACGATTCTTTCGAAAATATTGCTCCGTGACCATCGAAACCCTATATCTTTGGAATCAGCGTGTCGAGATCTACGTCCCTGAATTTTTTCAGAATTTTTAGACAACTTTTTTAAAAGCGAAATTTTTCCAATGGTCCCCCCTTCTTCAAATTTCGGCCAATTTTTGACATTTTCGAAACTTAACTAAATATATTTTCTGGTAGATTTCGAACTCTAGAACTCACTTCCGGCCTCAGTTCTTTGATAACTGCAACCGTTTTTCCGGAGTCGTCCGTTGAAATATCGAAATATTTAGAAATTCTCAAAAATTCGCATTTCGTACCGATTCTTTCGAAAATATTGCTCCGTGACCATCGATACCCTATATCTTTGGAATCAGCGTGTCGAGATCTACGTCCCTGAATTTTTTCAGAATTTTTAGACAACTTTTTTAAAAGCGAAATTTTTCCAATGGTCCCCCCTTCTTCAAATTTCGGCCAATTTTTGACATTTTCGAAACTTAACTAAATACATTTTCTGGTAGATTTCGAGCTCTAGAACTCACTTCCGGCCTTAGTTCTTTGATAACTGCAACCGTTTTTGCGGAGTCGTCCTTTGAAATATCGAAATTTTTAGAAATTCTCAAAAATTCGCATTTCGTACCGATTCTTTCGAAAATATTGCTCCGTGACCATCGATACCCTATATCTTTGGAATCAGCGTGTCGAGATCTACGTCCGTGAATTTTTTCAGAATTTTTTGACAACTTTTTTAAAAGTGAAATTTTTCCAATTGTCCCCCCTTCTTCAAATTTCGGCCAATTTTTGACATTTTCGAAACTTAACTAAATACATTTTCTGGTAGATTTCGAGCTCTAGAACTCACTTCCGGCCTCAGTTCTTTGATAACTGCAACCGTTTTTCCGGAGTCGTCCGTTGAAATATCGAAATTTTTAGAAATTCTCAAAAATTCGCATTTCGTACCGATTCTTTCGAAAATATTGCTCCGTGACCATCGATACCCTATATTTTTGGAATCAGCGTGTCGAGATCTACGTCCCTGAATTTTTTCAGCATTTTTACATAACTTCTTTAAAAGTGAAATTTTTCCAATGGTCCCCCCTTCTTCAAATTTCGGCCAATTTTTGACATTTTCGAAACTTAACTAAATACATTTTCTGTTAGATTTCGAGCTCTAGAACTCACTTCCGGCCTCAGTTCTTTGATAACTGCAACCGTTTTTCCGGAGTCGTCCGTTGAAATATCGAAATTTTTAGAAATTCTCAAAAATTCGCATTTCTTACCGATTATTTCGAAAATATTGCTCCGTGACCATCGATACTCTATATTTTTGGAATCAGCGTGTCGAGATCTACGTCCCTGAATTTTTTCAGAGTTTTTAGACAACTTTTTTAAAAGTGAAATTTTTCCAATGGTCCCCCCTTCTTCAAATTTCGGCCAATTTTTGACATTTTCGAAACTTAACTAAATACATTTTCTGGTAGATTACGAGCTCTAGAACTCACTTCCGGCCTCAGTTCTTTGATAACTGCAACCGTTTTTCTGGAGTCGTCCGTTGAAATATCGAAATTTTTAGAAATTCTCAAAAATTCGCATTTCGTACCGATTCTTTCGAAAATATTGCTCCGTGACCATCGATACCCTATATCTTTGGAATCAGCGTGTCGAGATCTACGTCCCTGAATTTTTTCAGAATTTTTAGACAACTTTTTTTAAAGTAAAATTTTTCCAATGGTCCCCCCTTCTTCAAATTTCGGCCAATTTTTGATATTTTCGAAACTTAGCTAAATACATTTTCTGGTAGATTTCGAGCTCTGGAATTCACTTCTGGCCTCGCTTCTTTGATAACTGCAACCGTTTTTCCGGAATCGACCGTTGAAATATCGAAATTTTTAGAAATTCTCAAAAATTCGCATTTTGTACCGATTCTTTCGAAAATATTGCTCCGTGACCATCAATACCCTATATTTTTGGAATCAGCGTGTCGAGATCTAGGTCCCTGAATTTTTTCAGAATTTATAGACAATTTTTTAAAAGTGAAATTTTTCCGATGGTCCCCCCTTCTTCAAATTTCGACCAAATTTTGACATTTTCGAAACTTAACTAAATACATTTTCTGGTAGATCTCGAGCTCTAGAACTCACTTCCGGCCTCAGTTCTTTGATAACTGCAACCGTTTTTCCGGAGTCGTCCGTTGAAATATCGAAATTTTTAGAAATTCTCAAAAATTCGCATTTCGTAACGATTCTTTCGAAAATATTGCTCCGTGACCATCGATACCCTATATCTTTGGAATCAGCGTGTCGAGATCTACGTCCCTGCATTTTTTCAGAATTTTTAGGCAACTTTTTTAAAAGTGAAATTTTTCCAATGGTCCCCCCTTTTTCAAATTTCGGCCAATTTTTGACATTTTCGAAACTTAACTAAATACATTTTCTGGTAGATTTCGAGCTCTAGAACTCACTTCCGGCCTCAGTTCTTTGATAACTGCAACCGTTTTTCCGGAGTCGTCCGTTGAAATATCGAAATTTTTAAAAATTTACAAAAATTCGCATTTCGTACTGATTCTTTCGAAAATGTTGCTCCGTGACCATCCACACCCTATATTTTTGGAATTACTGTTTCGAGATCTGCGTCCCTGAATTTTTTCAGAATTTTTAGACAACTTTTTTAAAAGCGACATTTTTCCAATGGTCCCCCCTTCTTCAAATTTCGGCCAATTTTTGACATTTTTGAAACTTAACTAAATACATTTTCTGGTAGATTTCGTGCTCTAGAACTCACTTCTGGCCTCGGTTCTTTGACAAAGGCAACCACCTTTCCGGAATCGACAGCTGAAATAACGAAATTTTTAGAAATTTTCAAAAATTCGCATTTCGTACTCATTCTTTCGAAAATGCTGCTCCGTGACCATCGACATCTTACATTTTTGGAATCAGCGTGTCGAGATCTACGTCCCTGAATTTTTTCAGAATTTTTAGACAACTTTTTTAAAAGCGACATTTTTCCAATGGTCCCCCCTTCTTCAAATTTCGGCCAATTTTTGACATTTTTGAAACTTAACTAAATACATTTTCTGGTAGATTTCGTGCTCTAGAACTCACTTCTGGCCTCGGTTCTTTGACAAAGGCAACCACCTTTCCGGAATCGACCGTTGAAATATCAAGAATTTTAGTAATTCTCAAAAAAACGCATTTCGTACCGATTCTTTCGAAAATGTTGCTCCGTGACCATCGACACCCTACATTTTTGGAATCAGCGTGTCGAGATCAACGTCCCTGAATTTTTTCAGAATTTTTAGATAACTTTTTTAAAATTGAAATTTTTCCAATTTTCCCTTCTTCAAATTTCGACCAATTTTTGAAATTTTCGAAACTTAACTAAATACATTTTCTGGCAGATTTCGAGCTCTGGAATTCACTTCTGGCGTCGGTTCTTTGATTAGGGCAACCGCTTTTCCGCAATCGACCGTTTTGTAAAGACCTGTAGGTTGAGAAATATCGTTTTTTTAAACTTTTTTATTAAACACCTGTTATGGTGTAAATGTAACTTACGAAAGATGGGTCACTTAGGGCCAAGAGGTTGTGATAAAACTGGTTAGGGCCATTGTTATTCTACGGGAAAAAAAAGACTTAACCTCTAAAAGACACATTTTGAATATAAAAACACGTGACATCATTATTGCAGTTTCGTTTATACGATTTTTCTTTCGCGTCTTTGTATAATTAATCTACGTTTGTCAAAAATTTTCATAGGTCTCCATAGACTTGGGAGTTGTAAGTTAGAAAACGAAACATTTTATGTAGAAGGTTACCTGGGAGCCACTTGTCGACATATTATGAAAATGCCGTTCGTCATTGAAGGCTTGTCGTTGCTTGGACGAATTCCTGGTTGAGGCAACTCTAAAATTAAAAACACCCTGTTAAAACACAAAGTTTCCGGAAGGGGTGGGATTTTGTTTCTCGATCGAAAAAAACTCGATAGCGATAAAATCTCGTTTGCTGATTGGTTGAGATGCTACATTTCTGTCACATTTCTCGATTCTGTCACGAAATCAAGTCTTCATGGAGTGATATTTTCTCGATAGCTCTGAGTGAAGTGATGAATTTTGGAGACATAACCTCGAAATTCATGTCTAAATACAACTTCAAAATCGTAATTCTGAGTGACAAGTTCTTCAAATTAAGGTAATTGTAAACTTTTGAGCATTTAACAAGCTTATATGCAAAGAATAAATGCAAACTTTTGCATTTAAAAGCTACGCAATGACTTGTCGCAGTGATAATTTATCACTTCGATCGAGAAACAAAATCGCACCCCGGGACACGTGAGTTGTGTGGTTGGCCATCCATGATGCATACGGCAGCAGTATAGCTGAAATGGCTAGCGTAAGCATCATGAGTGAGTCATGACCAAATAGAGCAGAAATTAAAAAAAAATCACCAGATACATATGAAGGGTACACGGGAATAATGATCAAAGTCGCTTTTTTTGTCAAATTGAGATAAATAAATAAATAAATAAATAAATAAATAAATAAATAAATAAATAAATAAATAAATAAATAAATAAATAAATAAATAAATAAATAAATAAATAAATAAATAAATAAATAAATAAATAAATAAATAAATAAATAAATAAATAAATAAATAAATAAATAAATAAATAAATAAATAAATAAATAAATAAATAAATAAATAAATAAATAAATAAATAAATAAATAAATAAATAAATAAATAAATAAATAAATAAATAAATAAATAAATAAATAAATAAATAAATAAATAAATAAATAAATAAATAAATAAATAAATAAATAAATAAATAAATAAATAAATAAATAAATAAATAAATAAATAAATAAATAAATAAATAAATAAATAAATAAATAAATAAATAAATAAATAAATAAATAAATAAATAAATAAATAAATAAATAAATAAATAAATAAATAAATAAATAAATAAATAAATAAATAAATAAATAAATCTTTATTTCCTAGGGTATTTACACCCAGTTACAGGAAATATTGACAAATAATTGATTAATAGAGTGAGAGTGAATACATAAAGATAACAAAATAATTATAATATTGATTACAAACCAAAAAACCCCAAAAAAGAAAAAAAAAAAGAAAAATAAATCTATTTAACAGAAATGGTTTTTAATACAATTTGTAATGAACTTAATACAGTCACTATAAATGTCACAATAGGCGGCAATATCATTGAATAATTCGCACATTAATGCAATAGGCGATCTTACTAATACGTTGGTTCTGCTTGATTCACAATAGAATATGTTACTTTGTCTAGTATTAATCATTGGAATTAAAAAATTGAGTTGTTCTAAAAGTAACGGACAGTCCATTTTATTATTTATAAGATGTATTAAAAATTTTATTATTGTTATAATTCTCCTTAAGTGGAGAAGTAAAAAGTCAAATCTTGAGAGTAAAGCAGAATGTTCATAGCCTCTTGTTGGGTAAGTACCGTCAAGTAGAAAGCATAGAAATTAAAAAAAAAAACACGTTGGACGTGTTCAATATGTTGAATGTGAATCTGATATATTGGGAACCAAATTAAAGCTCCGTATTCAAGTTGTGATCGCACCAGAGAAAAGAACAGAGAACACAAGGTTCGCGTATAAGTAAAATCTCGGCAATTTCTGTAGATAAATCTGTAGGTTCTAAAACTTTTAGATACCATCTCACGAATGTGCTATACAGGGTGACTGCGAAATAAGTGCAAATATTTTAACCACGGCATCCCCCACCCTAGTAGAGCCGAAATATAGAAAAAATAAATTAAAAATCTAATGGGGCAAAACCCCCATGAACCACCCTCGATACGAAGGCACTGAGCCACCTTGTAAACAGAGTTGGAAAAACGTTCGAATAAAAACGACCTAAACACTTTCAGTTTCAATTAAAAGTAAAACCGACTTTTTGCTGCTTATCATTCGTTCATTCATTTACTCATTCATCGTTAAAGGTCAGTGTGAAAGTTTTTTAGTAATTTTGATTCTGACGGATGTTTGGTCCTTGTCACAACGATTTTACATTGTTTATTGGAACAGAAATAAGAGCAACTTAGAATGCTACTACCTTTTTACAAGAAATGTTGAAAATGTTGTCCTTGACTAGCAATACAGGCGTCAGAGCGTCGCAAGAGGTTTGTTGATTGGTAAAAAAAACACCGGAGTAGCGGCTGCCACTTTCACTTGTTGAAACTCTTCGATAATTTCTGGACACTGTTGATTTCCACAAACGAATTGTTTCATCCAACCAATACACGTTTCTCGAAAATCGTCTCTTGAAATCGTACTTGTTGACGACTATGTGGAGTTCCATCGGACAAAAAGTGAGTTACAAAAAGTGGACAATCAGCGGGCTCCAAACCGTGCACTTTGTCAACATGGTATGGTTGTGACCGTGTACTTTTAATGTAGGATGCACTACAAGCTGCGAAAATCCAATTTCTTCTTTCTGTCCCATCACGACCACGATCGTGAGTTTGAGGTTGAAGGTACCATGATCTCGGAGATGCTGTACCACTGATGCAAATTACCATATCGACACACTCTGCATTGGAAAACTGGACCATACACCGATTTCAACGACCGCTCGATAATGACTGGCCCTTTTCGTGTTTTTCACGTTGCGATTGAAAAAGTGCCTGATAAAGTTACTTTTTTGGTTCTTACTCCGAGTCCCCTACCCATTCATTGCAGTAATTATGTAGGTCACGAAACATTACCAGCGGCGCGTATAACAATTTACATTTAATTTCAAATAATTTTTTCTAGACACTGCTACCACTTAGGACCGTGAATTTTTGCCAGTGACATAATCATATTGTGAGCTATTTCCCATTTTTTTTTTGCATGTATTTCGCAGTCAACCTGTATAAACTGAAGTTTAGTATCAAAGAGTATATTTAGATCTTTAATCCTTTCAGTTCTATTTATTCAACTGTTGTCAATTCGATAGGGAAAAATGATGTTCTCCTTTTTTCTAGAGTAGGTCATAGCAAAGCATTTATCTTTGTTTAACGATAATCTATTTTTGGAAGCCCAGTCGCATACTGAGCATATATTTTGTTGTAATTGTTGACAGTCCAATGTAGATATAATGTTTAAATACAATTTAAGGTCGTCTGCAAAAAATAATTTCTGACATGAAATAATGTCTCCAAGATCATCTATAAAAAGTAGGAAAAGCAGAGGGCCGAGGTTAGAGCCTTGCGGAACACCAGAGGCGGGCTTGATAATATTCGATTTGTAATTGCGATATTTGACATATTGTTCACGATTAAATAAGTATGATTGAAAAAGTTTTAAAAGACCTTCTGAAAAACCAAATCTTTTTAATTTGTCGAGTAGTATAAAGTGATCAATTTGATCAAACGCTTTCTGAAAGTCAAAATAAATAGTGTCTACTTGCTGACGATTATCAATTGCTTTTGACGTAAATTGTGTAAAGCAGGCTAAGTTTGAAATTGTGGAACGTTTCTCCGTAAATCCATGTTGGTGAGGCGACCAAAACATTTTAATTGAGGAATAGGTATGTTTATAAATTATTATAGATTCAAAAACTTTAGAAAAATTGCAAAAAAGAGAGATAGGTCTATAATTCTTTATTTCCGCTACATCTCCTTTTTTGTATATTGGACAGACAGTTGCTCTTTTCCAGATATTTGGGGAAGTGGAAGAATTTAATATTTTATGAAATAACCGGAAGCAAGGATCTACAAAAATATACGCACAGTTTCATAACAGAAAACTTGGAATGCCATCAGGTCCCATTGTAAGCGAATTTTTACAACTTTTTAAAGCAGATAAAATTTCTTTTTGTGAATTATTATTGATATTCACTAGTAGCGATGGATTGATTTCATAGTTGTTGGCAGTTGTATTGGAATTAGAATTTTTGTAGACTCCATTAAAATAATTTGCGAAACCTTCAACAATTGTATTCGGAGAGTTGAGTTCTTCATTATTATATTTCATTAAGCCGGGGATTCTCGAATGGCCTTTTTTGTTGTTAATATACTCCCAAAACTTTTTTGGATCTATATGCAGTTTATAAGATAAGACTACCATCTTGTAGGAAATGCTAAATACTACACTATATTATAAATTACAACCATTCAAAAAACGATCACAGTCAGCAGAAAAAAGAGCTTAACATATGGTATCCTTAGGAAGATAATACACATAATACACCTTTTCCAGAATTACCTATATATTAATTTTTGTTTAAGTCAATTACTAAGTTTGTTTGTCCACTCTTTCTGTGTTATTATTAATTAATAAGTTTCACATTAAACAGTAATACTAAATTGTTGTGTTGTTTTGAATCTATTGGGTTTCAAACTTTAAAATTCATTTTTTTCGATATTTATAAATTGTGACTGATCGTTATTCCCGTGCAGCCTTCATATGTTATCTAATCTATTGAATTACAGCATATATTTTTCCAAGCCACTTCCTTGTGAAAATAACTGATTGAAATAACGGAAAAAAAAAGAACACAATAAAATGTCACGTTACATTGAAAACACAAAACTTCCAAAAAACAAATATACATATATGACAATTTAACGTTATATATTGTTTTGTTAACTAGATTACTAAGGACCGAAACATTTTTCGTCCAATGAATCACTTTACCAACATACACTGTTGTACATGTTTGTATCAAAGGGGAAATGAAATTCTAAATGGATACAATAAATATACACGAAATGATTATGCCTAAAAGATATTTAACAACGAAAGGTGTAACGATGGTCTCACAATTCGCACTGAGCCAAAATTGTAACTTTGTCACTGCTGTTATACCTTGCGTTATTTGCAACATCAGCAGAGATAGAATTTTTGTAAAAGCATAGAAAACATTAGGAACTTACTTTAGGCACACTTCTTCCTTCAAGATTGTACGTCTGGAAGTAAAAACTTAAATGTGAGAATTTTATTACGTTCTAAACTTATCTTAGATAAGGTCAAGACAGTGGCGTAAATAGCACCCCAGCAGACCCCGCAATGCGGGGGGGCGCAGCGCCAAAAGGGGCGCAGACCGTAACTTAACCGATATGTTTTTTAAAATGTGCAAACGAGTAAGTACATATTTATATTACTTTTTAAATTTGGTGTATGGGGGCGCTTACTACATATAAACTGCGGGTGGGGGGGGCGCACTGGAAGTTAGCTACGCCACTGGGTCAAGATAAAAACACCACACTATGTAAATTGGGTTGTCTTAATTTATTTATACCATGTTTTATGCAACCATTTTTAATTTTAGAAGAAAAATATAAACCCTACTTTTGCAGTTATATCAACAAAAGAAATATTAATAGACCGAGTATAAAGTGGTACCAAGTGCCACACAAAAGAAAATTGACAGTTTATGGATATAGTAAATTTATTCCGTCAAAAAAAAAAATATATACCTATATACTAATACGGGAGTGTTTTAGGTTTAAAAATAATGTTTAATGTAAATATCAGCAATTTAATGATCCAATCTAATCCTTGTCCAGAAGCTGAACAATGTGATCGTTGAGACTATAACATGCTAGGTATAACGGTGTTGCACCACTGCTATCAGTACGTTCCAAGGCCGTATCATTCTCAAGCAGCATTACCACAGTTTCATAGTGTGTACTTTTTTTTACACACGTAATGAAAAGGCGTCTTTCCGTATGTTGTATCAGTAACATTAACATCAGCACCATTCGCAATCACTACTGCTAAAATACCAGAAAGTTTGTTGATACAACAATGTTGACGTTTTAAAAAGTTGATCATTTCGTAAACATGGTTGAGGTAACTGCGCTGCAAAAGATCATTTTCATCAACTTTCTCGCATTGTATTGCTCGAACTGCATACGAATAGAACTATCCAAATAAATTGATATATACTTGTTTTTTTTGAACATATGAATCAAGTCTTCGTAGTCGAAAAGAAGACAGTACTGTAGAATCGTATCTATGTTTTTTAAAAACAATTTCGTTTCGATGTTGGTCTTTTTTGTCAAGAGCGTCAAGGGTAAAACTCGAATGAAGTTTGCTTCGTGAAACAGCGATTCCTGGTGTAAGACCTGCCGAATTTCTTCTTCGTCACACTTCCGTATCAAGGATTTTTCTATTTGCTTCTGGGTCAGGTTTCGTGTGGCGAAATTGTGGTGACGCCTTAACGACAAAAAGGTTTCTGTCGACAGGGAACTTTACCAACTGATACCTCTCGCACCACAAGCAAGCGACTTTCAACACGCTTCTACCGATTTCATCCACGTTACGAAACTCTTCATCTGGAAAATTTTCCACAAGATGGTGGTTCTTATACAAAACTGCGACATGAATTGGCGATTTTCTCGCCAAAATCAAATCAAAGAAAAACCGAACATTGTTGTATTTTGACTCAAATGTGAAGTTTTGGATGTGAATGGCTTTTTCTTCGTGCTCTGCAAGGTAAGCAGCCGCCAAATATTCGCCGAAAGAGTTGTGGAAGAACTTCGGACAGGCTTGGTCACTCACGTCGGTTATAAAACCTTCAGGATCCTTACTGGTGCTGATTTCTCTTCTAATTTTATATTTTTGTAAAACCGTTTCGTCGAAGTACAGCCTCATAGCCAACGCTTTATAATAATCCAGTTGCTTATCTTTTACGTTAAAGTATCGATTACGGATCATGTCGCTCGCGTTCTCTATGTCATCGATCCCTTCCTTCTCTCTAAAGTGGAAGTAAAATTTCTCCTCGACGAAGCGTTCGTACAAGTCGGCGATTGAAAAAATTTCGTCCAATAAACGACTGTATCTGAGGCGATCCCTCAATAACAGTTCCGACAAAATATATATCTGTAAAGGTATCCCTAGAATGTCGTTGTGAGGAAACAGCCGGATGTTGTTCCTTATCTTGACGAAAATCTCGTCCAGTTCTGAACATTCTAACCTGTTCTTGAGGTACGTTTTCTGGTCGTCTTCGTCGAACTCCTTCAACGTCCTCGATAAAACGTGGAAGTACTCCTCTAGGTCTTCACGCAGAAGGTATCTACAGGTAATCCAATGGCAAGCGTCTTCAGCTTCTGACAATTTATTGATAATGCGTTTGACTGTTTTGTACCCGTCGTTATTCAGTTCGTCCAAGCCGTCCCAAAAGTACCTGACGCGCCCTTCCGCAAACAAAGCTTCTATTACTTCAAAGTCAAAATTGCTATTCTGGCTTTTGATTGTTTCAGCTATGTACGCTTTGAACTCGTCGACGTTGTCTATTTTTCGGCGAAAGTAAGTTGAGTGATTGTTGACATAAATGAGTACGTTCCAGGCTGTTGGAGCGCTGGTGTTTTTCAAAGTTTTTGCAAGGGTGGTTTTTCCCATACCGGGGTCAGCACACACGAGATTGATGTTGTCTTCGTACCGCTTCAGCTCCGATTCTTCAATGAAAGTACCACCTAGTAAAAATTGATGTAAGTTTTGGTTTGTTGAACTTCTGACCCATTCAAAGCCGTCCATGGAGGAAAAATAGCGCAAATGGTAGCAACAGTGTCCACGAGGAACGGTTTTACATATAGTAGCGAATTGTTCTTTTGATATATCGTTCTCGCTTAGTACTACGAACCCGTCTTGTTTGATAGAGGGTTTTTCGTACGTCAAAAACTCCTCCATCCTGATAGCTTCTATGTTTGGAAATTGATTTTTGAATGCAGTTATTGGAGACACACAACTGAACACTACTAGACTTTGCGGTAAATCTATCTCCTCCAAGAACTCGTACTTGATAATATTCCTTGACAGAAACCTGGAGATCGGTGACGGTGGAAGATCCTCTGGTTTACCTATTAATAGTGCTTTATCCAACATCGCCACGAGTTTGTCTACGTCCAAAATACCAACAATTCTATCCCCTTTGCCGATTAAATCCCCCAAACTAATCTCCCGTTTACCTTGTATAGAACAAGTAAAGGTTGATAGTATCCTCTTGTACAAAATCTTCTTCCTTTTCTTCAGATTTAGCAAATTATGAAAAGTGCTGTAACCTCCAGGCGATTTAGCATTCAAAACGATAAACTTTTTTCGTTCGCAAAGACTTATAGCTTTTTGAGTTGCTTCGCTGTCTTCTACTACTAAAGGGCATTTACCCATCAACCACAAAACTTTCGTCCACTCTTCGTCATTGAGGTCTTTCAAACAGTTGACGCTAGATCCAAGTATTTGGTATTGTTTTGCTCTTTTCAAATACTCCAAATTCTTCACCGACTGTCTTTCCTTCAAACAGTGCCACAGATTTTTAATTTTGAGGTAGCTTTCAGTTGAAAGACAAGTAACGTCGAATTTTGAAATAGCTTTTTTCAACAGCTTAGATTTTTTGTCTTCGGGTTTTGGTTCAAAAGAAAGAAATCGTGTCGGTGATAGTATCAACAACGCAACCACATGTTTGACGAAAGATAAATGCAATGTAGTTTTGGAATTTGTGTTCTGGTTCCATTTTCTTACGAATTCTATGTAGTTCTTGGAAATGAGTTCGTCTTGACAACTAAACTTTGAAACAAAAATCTCTTTGATATCTTCCTTGATTGCGTCAGCGGTGCCGTAGTTGGTAACCAAGGTAAAATTTTTGAAAAAGTTTTCGTAGTCTTGTAAAGCGTTTGTATTTGTGTCCGCTATCTCAAATCGAAAGTGCTTCTTCTTGATTTTCTTTATGGATACGTTAAACTTCACATTGTCATTTTCCATCACAAGTTCTTTATCGTCAACCTCAAACTTTCTGTTAGTAACAAGAATGAATTTGAAAGTTCCAACAGTCGTTGTTTTTTGTCGATATTCCTCGAAATACTTCATAACACTAAAATCCCCCTTTTTGGCCACTAATGCCTGTTTGGTTAAAATTCCTCCAGTGTTTGCGTACTTCAACTGCACTGCATACGTCCCTTTGAGATTAACTTCCTGGGAATCCACGTCAAAGACAGTGTCGTCCATGGACCCAAAATCAGGGTGGTTTGACCACACGTTGAATTTTGTAATTTTTTCATTGTTGATCAGGTTCAACAACAAACGTGCAACGTAAAGTTCTTCGAATAGTCCTCCATCGTTGGTGGTTCCAGGACGTTTTTTAAAGGTCTGTAGATTGAGAAATAAGGCTTTTATAACGTAAACACACGTTATGGTGTATAAGGAACTTACGAAAGAGGGGTCATTTAGGTCCAAGAGGTTGTGATAAAACTGGTTAAGGCCATTGTTGTTCTATGGAAAAAGAAGACATATATAAATATCGTGAAAACAAGTGGTAAATGGTGACGTCATAATTGTAAATTAGATTTACCTGACAGCTACTAGTCGACATGTTTGTGTGAATTACTGCATACTGCTTGAGGTAACTGTAAAACTAAAAATACCCTATGATAAATATTTTGGGAACGTTTTGAGATTATGAAGATCAGATTACGCCATCTATCAAATAAAAACCGGCGAAAGTTAGTAGCGGGATGGGCGGGGTTATTTTTACTTGTAAAAGCGTATGAACTTTAGGATTCGGAACTTACTTTGGCTACTCCTTCATCATTGTAGGTGAAGAAATAAAAAATTAAATGTGCAGATTTTTAGGTTATGAACTGACCTTTGGTTAAGAATAATATGAATATAACAGTAAACTAGAGTGAGTTTATAACACTGAACCATTATCAATTAACCTTGAAACCGAGTAGAATGTCTGTATGTTGGGTTGTCTGCATTTATTTGTCGGTTTGTGATGCAGTCAAAAGAGATTTGTTTAGTCGACTGTAGTTGTTAATTCCACAACAAATATGCTTGTCTTTTCAAGTCATCAATATTAGAATATTTGGCTAGATTTTACTAGTAGCCAATGTTGGGGACAGATACTTTTAAAAATATCTTGATACAGATATATAGATACATGGAAGATAAAAGAATCTAGATACAGATTGTTTTCGATTTTTTCGAAATGTATCTAGATACAGATACAAGAAAACAGATACTTTTTGAAGCTTTGGCGAATAAAATAACTGAAAACATGTTTATGTATTTTTTTATGTATTGTTTAAAGAATTTTTTAAAATTAACAACATTTCGAACGTATTGTCACCTAAATTATTTCTTCTTGGTGTCAGAATTTGGTTTCCGCTACTAAACACCCGTTCCACAGGTGCAGAAGAAGGGATTGTGGTATTAAATTTAAAAAATAAACATTTTACTGTAGCATAGTTATTCAAGACTGAAACATTTTTTTTTTGTGACGATTTTTTCTTACCAGTCGTAAGTCGTGGGGCGGTGCTTATTTGCAAAATCCTTGATTTTCTACGAAAAATTGCTATGTGAAACATGTTCTTTAGTAATCGTGTTGTTCAAAGCAAACTATATGTACGTATTAAATAAAAAAGAAAGCCAAAAGATAAGCTCCACCCATTCGTTTTGATCTTAGTCTGGCTTTAACTTTTACATAATATACTTAGTATTCTTTGAAACATGTCTTACATGGTAATTTCTTGTTGCAAAATAAGACTTTTGCAATTCAGCTCCTCCCTCTTAGCTCACGGCGAATACAAAAAGATCATCACAATCGAGATAGGGTGGGTGGGCGGGTCTTATTTTTTGCCTTTTTTTCTTAATAAACGTTGTTATCTTTTCACGACAAAAACTTAAAACCGATATAAATTCCTTCGGTGAGTCTATAATCATTGCAGTCATATTTTATTCGGATTTATAATAAAATTCCAAAAGAAAAAATACTTGCTAAAATTGTTTCAAAATGCATAACATGCAGTCTCGTTTTTTCAAAAGTCTGCTAAAACCATGGTAGAAATCAAGAGAAGTCACACATCTGACGTACAAAAGCAAAAAACAACCGCTGATTCCTCGGTGACGAAAAAATATAACAAACAAATTAAATTAAATTGCCTAGTAGTAGCAGTATTAATTTATTATTTGCCCTACAGGCTTAATAAGATTCCCAGTAGGGGTACAAATTAACTTAATCTACTTATATAATACAAATAAATCAATAAAATAGATAAATACATAAAATAATTATTCGAGTTTTATATAATAAGTTCCCTTATCTTCCGTACTTCTTTCATCCAGTCCAGTCCTCTTCCATCCTCGTTTAGCACTTTCCTTCGATTCTCTCAATCCTTCACATCCTTCCAGCATATGCTCTATTGTTTCTCCTTCTGTCAGTTTCATCCATCCAAAAATTATTCTCTTTCTCTTCATTTCCACACTTAAATCTCGCCATCATTCTATTCCCCTTTATACTCTCTTTCTGTGTACTTTGGTACTTCATCCTCTACCATTTTTCTATACTCTGCGTTATATCTAGACTCCGATATTCTCGATCTGCGTTCTTGCTTATCTGCATCCTTATCTCTTACACTCAGTTCTTCTTTCATACTCCTTTCTATTTCTCTCATTCTCTGTATTTCTTCACATGCATATCCCTTTCCTTCATAATACTTGTCTTTTTCGTTCCAAACATGTTTTCCCCCATTCTTTCTTATGTCTTTCCGACATTCTTACAATATTTTGCAATCACCTCTCTCACTAAACTTCTCTTCAAATCCAACCGCCCTTTTACCCGCTTCCACTCTCATTTTCTCCCTTTTTGTATCTTTTCTCACTACATACTCTCTCTATTTCTTCATATTCCCTCCATCCCCAAATCTCAGCTCCATATATAAATATACTTTTGATCAAACTATCAAACATCATCCTTTTCCTATATAATGTAATAACCGAAACTTCCCGCCTTTAAATTGACCTTGAAAAAGTTTGAAAGGCCCGCGAAAAATTCAAAAATTCAAAATTTGGCCTTGGCTGTGATCGTCTAACACCTAGGAACCTACGTTGTGTTTTTTTTTTTGTTTTTGAAAAATGGCCGGAAGACGTTCTTTAATGCAAGTGAGCATATACTGCATGTGAGTTGAGAGCGTAAGAAATAATAGACAAAATTAGGGAAGTCGAAATCCTTCCTTAAGAGGAAAAAAAAACGAAGAGTGACAGTGACTCAGCATGTCCTTCTGGTGGCTCCGCAGGGCTAAGGCGTCATCGGTCTTCATTCCCCAAAATCCTCTAGGGTCTTATTCACCGAAATATTACATTTCAAACACCTTAAGTTATATGAAAGAAAACACTCGCGAATTGACAGACATACACATATGAAAAACGGACAAACGGAAAATTCTGTACATCTGTTTGGAATCAATGCAAATATTGGAATATCACAAATTTAATAAAAACAAAGCAAAATCTGAATCAAGTAACTGGATGCAAAAACACAAGTTATTACAGGCGTGTGGCGGCAGATTTTTAAAGTTACGGCAGTTAACAGGAGCACAACAAAAGTACCCCTGGGGTGTTGTAACACAAGCGGAGTTTGGGGCTACCGGTCTGGAGCTGTTCTCCCCCCACGACGGTGATTCTATCTATCGCAAAGCCTACCCCACACGCATATCTCCATTACGAACGTGCCCTGCGGAACTAGGCCATTACGGTCGCCAGACCCGCAAGAGGATCTAGGCTAGCACGAAGCCTAGAACTTTACAATATCGGCGGCCGCCCCTGAATCTATCCAAACCTGTGGACTTGTACAGGTGGCACGATAAATCTCGCCAGCTCGACTAGGAACCGAACTTCGCTTCTGCCACGTTCTCTGTGTCATTTAACCTCAATTCCATTTTTTAAATATTAAAATAAATTAAAAAATTAAATTAAATTGGACATCAAATAATTTATATGAGAGAAACATTCATCAACAAAATATTTACAAAACAAAACTTAGTAACGATTTATGAAACAAAAGATTTGGTGTGAAATGAACTTGTACAAATAGAAATATTATGTGAGGTTAAAACTGTTACGTTCAATTAAAATTATACAACAAATAAAATTACTGAAGTTAAAACTGTGAGATTGAGAAATATTGTATGAAGTGAAAATTTGCAAAGTTAACAAAATTTACATGAGATTAATAATAATTGCCACACTTGATTGAACTTTTTCCTACAGAATCTTTTATAAGCTAGCAAGAGCCCCGCCCACCCGCCCCCTCTTCATTCCACTGATTACTCTTAATATTGTTCAGTTTTATCTTAGCAAGTTTTAGCCCCGCCCACCCACCCTTTTTTTCTTAGGGGATATGTCATTTGCCAAAGTCGATCTTATCTTATTAATAAATACTAGACCCACCCACCCGCCCTCTTTTCTTAGAGGCTATGTCATTTTCCAAAATCAATCTTATTTCAGCAGACACCAGCGACGATTTTAACGATTTTATTTCTCTTCAACTGAGATCTACCTTTCATTCGGACTAGACAAAATGAGTCACGGAAATGGAGCCAGGGTGGGTGTGAGATTACAAAATTTGCTATTATAAACATGATTAAGTTTCCTTTGTTTCTTCTCTTCAGCTGGGGTAGTACTTTTTTTATATAAAATTAATAACCGAAATGGAGTCGGGCGGGTGGGCGGGATTTGTTATATGTTCTTCTGCAGAGCTGTAATTAGCTGATCGAAAATAGGCTGTAAAAAAGCGCCAATCGTAACTTTTTGTTGTACTATTTGTTATAATATATAATATGGGACTAAGTATAACTTTTTCCTAGAGAGTTTTTCATAGGCAAGCACTGGGCCTTCCCACCCACCCCTTCTTCGTTCTAATGACTACTCTTACTATTGTTCAGTCCTATCTTAGAAAAAATACTAGCCCCGCCCGCCCACTCACTAAATTCTTAGAGGGTCTCATTTGCCAAAATCACTCTTATCTTAGCAAGTTTTAGCTCCGCCCACCCACCCTCTTGTTTCTTAGAGGCTATGTCATTTTCCAAAATTAGTCTCATCTTAGCAAGTACCTTTATTTTCTTAAAGAGTATATAATTTGCCAAGATCAAAGAAAAAACTCATTTTGGCAAATTATATCCCCTTTAAGAACACAGAGGGCGGGTGGGCGGGCTATTACTTGTTAAGTTAAGATTGATTTTGGCAGACGACATATCCTCTAAGAAAAAAATGGGTGGGTGGGCGGGGCTAAGTTTAACTTTCTCCTAGAGAGTCTTTTATCGGCAAGCAGCCTCACAATAGCTTGATAGTAAAGAAAATATTTATTAAAATATCAATCGATAAAAGTTAAAGAAAAACAAAATACAAAGGAGAAGACACGCTCTATCCCACAGCAACTTCTTTCCTCCACCGTAATAAGACTTCTCGGCATCGGGATTAGCAAGTTGTGAGGCATGCCCCGATGAATTAATCATGATAACGATGATAAGCACCTAAGGGAAGAAAATATCATAACCCCCGCCAGTTCGCAGTATAAATGAACTATTAGCAATATTGTGTGAAGAATTAAGAAGTGTTATAATGTAACGCTTACGTATATGCATCTAGAAGCTTAATCGTAATTAAACAATAAGGTGTTTTCCTGACTAAGTGAATTTCATGAAATCAAGTGGTTTATTTAAATAATCCTGATTGTTAAATTGTGTTTGCACTTGCTGAATATTAAGAAAAATTAACTTCAGAATGAATCTACGTCATGCGGTTTCTCTCTCTACCCATTAACCAACCCTGTAACTAGAAACCCCTAGCGCTAAATCGTACGATTACCAAGCAAGCATTTCCGTGCGTCAGGTTGCCTACGTTTAACGATTCCCTTTTTTGTGATTGAATTTTTTTTTCTTTCAAATTCAAATTATTCAGACGTGATTTCGCGCCGCTGTTAATTAATTTCAGCGCGAAAATTTTGATTTAAATTCGGTCACCACAACATCAAAGAAAATTGACTGTTTATGAATATAGTACATTTATTCAGTCAAAAATATGCTTGTCTTTAGAACAATGTTCGAATATTTGGCTAGATTTTACTATTAAGTACTAACATGGCAGTGTTTTAGGTTTATAGATCATATTTAATTAATTAGTGTAACCATAAAATTTAGCTCCATGTCGAGTCAAAATTTCCATGGCGTCGTAGTGATCTTTGGCGAAAGCATAATTTAAAGGCGTTCGTGCACTCTTATCTGGAAGATTTATTTCCGCTCCATTTTCTATCAGCAACTTAATGATCCAATCTAATCCTTGTCCTGAAGCGTGATGCAGTGGAGTTTTACCCTCATTCGTGCAAGCGTTGCAGTTTGCACCTTTTTGAACCAAAAGCTGAACAATGTGATCATTTAGACTACAGCATGCACGGTATAATGGTGTTGCACCAGTATTATCAGTACGTTCCAAGGCAGCACCATTTTCAAGCAACATTACCACGATTTCATAGTGTGTACTTTTTCTACACACGTAATGTAGAGGCGTCCTTCCGTATGTAGTATCAACAAGATTAACATCAGCACCATTCGCAATCACTAGTGCTAAAATACTAGAAAGTCTGTTGATGCAACAATGATGCACTGAAGTCAGTCCTTCTGAATCACGACAATTTAGTACCGCTGGAGTTAGCTTCTCGATCAGGACGTTCACTACGGACTTGTGTCCCCATTTGCAAGCCATGTGTATGTACATCAACCCTTTTCGATTAACATAATCTAAGTAGGCACCTCTTTCTAGCAACAGTTCGCAAATTTTGTCATGTTTGCTAAGAGCGGCGTTGTACAACGGCGTTTTGCCATCTAAATCTTCAACATCGATCGTTATGTCGAAAGTAGTTAAATATTCCGCAATGGCGTAGTGACCGTAGGCACAAGCTAGATGAAGAGGCGTCCTTCCGTAGGTATCTACAAAGTTTACGGGTGCTCGGTACTCAATCAACAGTTGAACCATCTCAAAAATCCCCTTACTACAGCAGTGGTGAAGCAAGGTTTTGCTAAAAGCAGTCTCGAAGTGTAAGTGCGCACCATGCTTAAGTAATAGCCTACAGATGGCGTAGTCTCCTCCAAAACAAGCATGGTGTATAGGTGTTTTCTTGTTTGAATCCACGGAATTCAAATTTGCGCCGTGTTGTATTAAAAAGTCGACCATTTCATAGTCGCCGTTGACGCAAGCAAGTTGAAGAAGATTTTCTTCGTTTTTTGCCAAGAATTTCTCATCTTTCTTTTTGGCTGCTAGCGCTTTCATCACCTTTATTGATTTGTATTGTACGATCTGGTGGATAATCGAACTACCGGAACTATCACGCATCTGCCAGATTTCTTGGCACGTGTCAATCAAGTCTTCATAGTCAAAAAGAACGCAGTATTGGAGAACCGTGAAAATGTTTTCTGCGAAGAAATCCGTTCTCTTGTTGGTCTTTTTTGTCAAGAGAATCAAGGGTAAAACTCGGATGAAGTTTGATTCGTGAAACAGCGATTCCTGGTGTAAGACCCTCTGAATTTCTTCTTCTTCATATTTCTGCAGCAGTAAAACTAGGATTTTTCCATTTATTTCTGGTTCAGGTTTCATGTTGCGAAAATGTGGTGGTTTTTTCACGACGAAAATATTTTCCTTGGCTTGGACGTTCACCACCGGATATTTCTCGCACCATAAACACGCCACTTCTAGCACGCTCCTCCCCCCTTCATCCACTTTACGAAACTCACCATCTTGAAAACTTTCCACAAGATGGTGGTTCTTATACAACACTGCAACATGAATTGGCGACTTTTTCGCCAAAATCAAATCAAAGAAAAACCGAATATTGTTGTATTTTGAGTCAAAAGTGAAGTTTTGAATGTGAAGGAGTTTTTCTCTGTGTTGTGCAAGATAGGCAGCTGCAAAGTATTCGCCGAAGGAGTTGTGGAAGAACTCCGCTTTGTCGCTGACATCTGTGATAAATCCTGCAGGATCCTTATCTGCGACGAGTTCTCTCTTAATCTCAAGCTTCTGTAAAACCGTTTCGTCGAAGTAGAGCCTCAAAGCCGATTCTTTATAATAACTTAGTTGATTATTTTTTTCTTTGGTTATTCGTTCATAAACCAAATCGTTCACGTCCTCCATGTTCTCGATCCCTTCCTTCTCTCTAAAGTGGAAGTTAAATTTCTCCTCGACGAAGCGTTCGTACAAATCGGCGATTGAAAAAATTTCGTCCAATAAACGACTGTATCTGAGGCGATCCCTCAATAACAGTTCCGACAAAATATATATCTGTAAAGGTATCCCTAGAATGTCGTTGTGAGGAAACAGCCGGATGTTGTTCCTTATCTTGACGAAAATCTCGTCCAGTTCTTGGTCCGAGCACTCTAACCGGTTCTTGAGATACGTCTTCTGGTCGTCCTCGTCGAACTCTTTCAACGTTCGTGATAAAACGTGGAAGTAGTTTTCTAGATCCTCACGCAAGAGACTTCTGCAAGTAATCCAGTGTTGAGAGTAATCAGCTTTTGACAGTTCCTTGATAATGCTCTTGACTGTTCTGAATCCGTTATCAGACAGTTCGTCTAAACCATCCCAAAAGTACTTGACCCGACCTTCTGCAAACAAAGCTTCTACTACTTGAAAGTCGAAACGACTATTCTGCGTTTTGATTGTGTTGGCTATGTAGGTTTTGAAGTTATCGACATTGTCTCCTTTTTCGCGGAAGTACTTCGAATGGTCTCTGACATAAATGAGGACGCTCCAGGTCGTTGGCGCACTGATGTTTTTCAAAGTTTTCGCAAGAGTGGTTTTTCCTATACCGGGGTCGGCACACACGAGATTGATATTGTCGTCTTCGGACCGCGTCAGCTCTGATTCTTCAATGAAAGTACCACTTAGTAAAAATTGAGTTAGGTTTTGGTTCTTTGTTGAACTTCGGACCCATTCAAAGCCGTCCGTGGAAGAGAAGTAACGCAAATGGTAGCAACGTCGACCACGAGGTACCTTTTTACATATAGTTGCGAATTCTTCTTTTGATATGTCGTTCTCGCTTAGTACTACGAACTCGTCTTGTTTGGTGCCGGAGTTTGCGTCAGTCAAAAACTCGTCCACATCGATGGCTTCTACGTGCGGAAATTGCTTTTTGAATGTAGTTACTGAAGACACACAACTAACCACTACAAGATTTTTTTGTAAATCTATTTTGTCTAAGAACTTGTACTTGATCATGTTCCTTGATAGAAACCTAGATATCGGTGACGGTGGAAGATCCTCTGGTTGCCCGATCAAGAGTGCTTCATCTACCATCGCCACAAGTTTGTCTGCGTCCAAAATAGCGACGATTTTCTCCCTCTTGTCGATTAAATCTTCCAACCTAATCTCCCGTTTACCTTGAATGGAACAAGTAAACGTCGACAATATCCTCTTGTACAAAATCTTCCATTTCTTCAGATTTAGCAAACTACGAAAAGGACGAAAAACGGAATAACTCACAACCGATTTAACGTTAAAAACGATAAACTTTTTTCGTTCGCAGAGACCTATAGCTTTCCGAGTTGCCTCACTGTCTTCTACTACTAAAGGGCATTTACCCAACAACCACAAGAATTTCGTCCACTCTTCGTCATTGAGGTCTTTCAAAGACTTGACTCTGGATCCAAAAATTTGGTACTGTCTTGCTCGTTTCAAATATTCCAAATTGTTCACCGACTGTCTTTCCTTCAAACCGTACCACCAATTTTTAACTTTGGGGTAGGCGTCACTTGAAAGACAAATAACGTCGAATTTTGAGATAGCTTTTCTTAGCAGTTTGAATTTTTTGCCTTCGGGTTCTTGGTCAAAAGAAAGAAATCGTGTCGGTGATAGTATTAATAACGCAATCACGTGTTTAGCGAAAGATGAATGCAGTGTAGTTTTCTGACTCATGTTCTTGCTCCAGTTCCCCACGAATTCTATATACCTCTTAAAAATTAGTTCGTCCTGACAACTAAACCTTGATATAAAAATCTCTCTAATGTTTTTGTTGATTTCATCAATGGAGTCGCAGTTGGTAATCAAGGTAAAATTTTTGAAAAAGTGTTCGTAGTCTTGTATAGCAGTTGCATTAGTGTCCACTATCTCAAAGCGAAAGTGTTTCTTCTTCTTCTTGATTTTCTTTATAGATACGTTAAACTTCACATTGTCATTCTCCATCACAAGTTCTTTATCGTCAATGTCAAACTTTCTGTTAGTGACAAGAATGAATTTGAAAGTTCCAACCGTTGTTGTTTTTTGTCGATATTCCTGGAAATACTTCATAACACTAAAATCCCCTTTTTTGGCCACTAATGCCTGTTTGGTTAAAATTCCTCCGGCGGTTGCATACTTCAACTGCACTGCATACGTCCCTTTGAGATTAACATCATTGGAATACACGTCAAAGACCACGTCGTCCATAGCGCCAAAATGTGGGTGGTTTGACCACACGTTAAATTTTGTAATTTTATCATTGTTGATTAGGTTCAACAACAAATGTGCAACGTAGACTTCTTCGAATAGTCCTCCATCGTCGGTGGTTCCAGTGCGTTTTTTAAAGACCTGAGGAGTGATAAATCTTTTATAACAACTGTAAACGGATGTAATGGTGTAAAGTAACTCACGCAAGAGGGGTCATTTTGGTCCAACAGGTTATGGTAGTAGTGGTTAGGACCATTCTTACCCTATGAAAACGAACAAAAAACTTATTATTATTACTATTATACAAACGTTACAAAAATTTACCTGGAAGCGTCTTGTTGACATAGTGCGATTTTATGTTTTCACACTGGTTTGACATTGCCTGTGGGATTTACTATGTTTTGGTTGAGGCAACTGTAAAACTAAAAACACCCTATCAAAACAATAGTGAACTGGAAAGACTTGTATTCATTTAAAAAAATTTGGATTGTCGGGGTTCACAGAAGACATAATAGTTGATAATAATAACAAAGTTGTGACGTTGCTGTGACACAATTTAGATCAGTCTGTCAAAATTATCAAACTATCAAAGATAACAGTTGCAAAAACATATTATAAATTGATTGACATTAAGAACTTACTTTAGGCACTCCTGGGTTGTACCTACGTGTGGAAATAAAAAATTAAATGTGCGAATCTTTAGGTTATAAACTGACCTTTGAGTAAGAATAAGGTGAACCTAACGGTAAACCAAGGTTAGTTTCTGTGGTTTATAGTGAACCACTATCAATCAACCTTGAGGACACAGATACTTATATGTATATTGGGTTGTCTACGTTGTTTACATCCTTGGCTCTTTGTATGACTTTTTCAAATTTTATTATTAAATTGCGAGAATATTAACACGTGGATTTAATAAAAAAATATTGTGTTATGTTGAATCAAGTTGGTATAAAACAGTTTTTCATTATCGCGTGGTCATTGCTTGTTGGCTATAAAACAATACTATTTGTGAGAACTTTATGAGGCAAACAAAAATTTGTGACGGAAAGTTGTTATTGGAAAAATACGGATATAAAACTATACAAAACAGCAATCGTAGTAGTAATACTAAGAGTACTAACGAGAAAGGAAGACACCGAGAAGAATAATGGAGCTAAAAAAGACGCAAGAAAAGAAATGTACCTAGATAAAAATAAAAAATAAAGCTCAAGTGGAGACCACTAGGTAGTTGATCAACAGCAAGACGGAAAAATGGTGCGAGGACTAAGCTTACGAAAGACATGATAAAAATGGACAGCACAAACTGGCGAGAAAAATAAAAGAAAGAATAGAATAGAATAAATAATAGAATCGACAAAAAACGCAGAACTGTTAGAGATCAAGTGGTACGGTTCTTTAAGTAGCATAGGAACATTAAAATTATTATCTATTATACATAGTTATTTCTTATTTAGTACATCCTATATATTTTTAATTATTCTCATTAGCTTCTTGCTATGCTGTCTACCAATGGTTAATTTTTGAAATTTCGATGAGACGTTTTCTGGTTATTCCGATTTTCTTGATTTTTTTTAGACACAAAAACCACAATAACGATATTTTTAAAACGTGTGTTACAATATTTTACCAATTAAATAAAATTTTAATATACAGAGTGTTTGTGAAAAATTTTGTAAGGTTACCGATATTTCAGTTCGTTCAATAGAAAAATTTTTCAAGCACTTGATTTTTAATTTTTGAATTCTTCAAGGACATTTTGTAATATTTTCTTGCGCCAACATGATTTTTTTATGTTGCTAAAAATCTAAAACCTAAGAAATTGAAAAATTAAAAAATATAAAAACTGAAAAATTGAAGAAATGAGTGAAACGAAAAATGAAAAATTGAACAACCCAAAAATTAAAATCGACGTACTCAAAAATTGAAAAATTGATTTTTTGTTAATTAAAAAACGATACATTGTAAAATAAAAAAATTAAAAAAACGAAAAATTCTGAAATTGAAAACTCGAAAAATGTGAATCAAAAAATTGTCTGTCGAAAAATTGAAGAAGTAAAAAATTGTAAAATCGAAAAATTGTAAATTATAAAAATTCTCGTTGAATTGGATCATTGAAAATTTCAAAAACTGAAAAATTAAAAATTGAAAACTTCGACTTGAAAGCTTGAAAAACTGTAAATCGAAAAATTCCCAGTAAAAAATTGAAAAATGGGGAAACTGTATGATGAAAAAATTGCAAATCGGAAAACTGAAGACACGAAAAATTGAACCATTGAAAAATTGAAAAAAATTGAAACATCAAAAAGTGAAAACTCGAAAAAGTGTAAAACGGTTGAATAATTTAAGAAATCAAAAATTGAAAAATGGATAAATTAAAATGGGGGTACTGACAGCTCGAAAAATTGAAAAATTTTAAAAACTAAGAAACGATTAATCGTAAAATCGAAAAAAAAATTGCAATCGCAAATTGGAGAACCGAAAAATTCTAAAATTGATAACTAGACAAATGCAAATCGAAAAATTGAAAATTGAATGGTTGGGAAAACTAAAAATTTTGAAAAACTGAAATTTTCAAAAAACAAAAATTATGAAGTCGAAAAATTGTCAGTTAGAAAAAATGCCATTCGAAAAATTGAAAAATCCAAGGATTTTAAAATTGGAAGTAAAAAATTGAAAAGTTGAAAAATTGAAAATTGATCACTCGAGACATTGCGAATCGAAAAATTATCGAAAAATTGCAACAACAAAATACTGAAAAATACTAAAAGGCAAATAGAAAATCGAAAAATGGAAAACTGAAAAATCGGAAAATTAAAAATCAATAAGGTGAAAATTGGAAAATTAAAAAGGAAAAATCCAAAAATCGATGAACTGTAAAATTAAAAATTTGCAAATAGAAAATTTGAAGGAGTGAAGAATTGAAAAATCGAAAAATTTTAAAATGGAATAATTGGAATTAAAAAATTTCGCAAATAAAAAAATTAAATGTCTGAAAATTTCAGAAATGGAAAAATTAAATATTGAAAACTTTGAATTGGACGCTTGAAAAAATGTAAATCGAAAAATTATAAAACTGAAAAATTTTGAAGTTGAAAAACTGAAAAATTAAAAATTGAAAACTCGAGAAAATCGAAAAATTATACAATCAAAAAAATTGTCAAATCAGAATCAAAAACTAAATAATTAAAAATTGAAGAAACAAAGCACTGAAAAATTGATTAAATGAAAATTATTAAATTGCAAAGAGAAAATCGAAAAATGAAAAATTAAAAAATCTGAAAATTAAAAATCAAGAAGCTGAAAAATCGAAAAATGAAAAATTAAAAATCGAAACCGTTTTAAAATGAAATAATTGGAATTCGAAGAACTGTGCAAATCGAAAAATTGTATGATAGAAAAATTGTAATTCAAAAACTTTAAAAGTTGAAAAATCAAAAATTGAAAAACGAAAAATAAAAAATTCGAAACACTGCAAACCGAAAAATTAAAGTGACGAAACAGTGAAAAATCGAATAATTGATTAACTAAAAAAGTGAAAACTCGAAAAAACGGAAAACTGCAAATCTAAAAATTGAATAGTGAAAAATTGAAAACATTAAATTGAAGCCTTGAAAAACTTCAAATCGAAAAGTTACCAGTCAAAAAATTGAAGAAAATTACAAATCGAAAAATTGCAAAATTAAAATCAAAATAATAATAATAATAATAATAATAAGTTTATTGTCCCACAGGTTTCCCTAATTACAGGACAAAATATAAAAAAAATACATAATAATAAATATACAAATAACTAAATAAAAGAAAAGAAAAAACAGCACTCTCGACCATAATACAAACAGGACTAACCCAAGAAAACATCACTCACGAGCTTATTTGCACATTTGCACATCACTGAAATCGGTGAACGGCATAAGACGTTCGTGCGTGGAGACGGCACATAAAAGGTAACTACATGTCGTGAAGAGAATTGCGGCACATTAAATTCAACTTTCGATAGTAAGGACGCACAATCAATCCTATTATTAATTAATTTTACAATAAAGTTCGCACAAACCAAGAATGGAAAATTGAAAGTCGAAAAACTGAAAAATCGGTCAACTGGAAAACTGAAAACTCAAAAAAAAAACCTGAAGAATCAAAAAGATTGAAAATCCAAAAATTGAACATCGAAGAATTGGAGACGAAAAAGTGTAAAATCGAAAAATTCGAAAAACGAAATATTCTACATTGAAAAATTGAATTATTGAAAATTTCAAAGCAGAAAAATCAAAAATTTAAATCGGCAGGAACTGCAAATCGAAAAATTGCCAGTTGAAAAATTTGACAATCGAAAAACTGAAGCAACGAAGAACTGATTAATTGAAAAATTCATAAGTGGAAAAATAAAAAATTGAACAATTTAAAATTAAAAACTGATTGAGGAAACGAAACACTGGAAAATCGAATGATCGATCAATTAAAAAAGTGTAAATTCTAAATCGAAAATCGAAGAAACTGAAAAATCAAAAAATTGAAAAATCCAGGAATTGAAAAATCGGTCAATCGGAAAATTGAGAACTCAAAAATCTGCAAACTGAAAAAGTGCCAGTCGAGTAACTGAAGAAGCAAAAGAACTGAAAAATCCAAAAATGGAATATCGAAGAATGGGAGACGATTGAAAATTTCAGAGCTGAAAAATCAAAAATTTAAATCTTGAAAAACTGCAACTCGGAAAGTAACCGGTCGAAATATTGAACGGAATTACAAATCCAAAATTGTAAAATCGCAAAAATTGCAAAATTAAAAACGAAAACTAATTAATCGAAGAATGGAAAATTGAGAAATCGTTCAATTGAAAAACTGAAAACTCAAAAATGTGCAAACTGAAAAAGCGCTAGTTGAAACATTGAAAAAGCAAAAAGATTGAAAAATACAAAAACTGAAGAATAGGAGACGAAAAATTGTATCATCGAAAATTTCAAAAGTTGAAAAATCAAAAATTTAAATCTCGAAAAGCTGCAAATTGAAAAATTGCCAGCTGAAAAATTGAAGAATTCAAAAGTTGAAAAATGAAAAATTTAAAACTGATGGAGGAAACGAAATACTCGAAAATCGAATGATCGATCAATTAAAAAACTGTAATAAATTATATTAAATGGAGAATCGAAAAAGGGAAAATAAAAAAATTAGAAACTTAAAAATCAAGAACCTGAAAACTAAAAAAATTAAAAAAGAAAAATCGAAAAATCGATCAATTGTAAACTTGAAAACTCGAAAATCATTGAAGAAATGAATAATTGAAAAATCAAAAAATTTTAAAACGGAATAATTATAAGTAAAAAATTGCGCAACTCGAAAAATTGGGTAATTCAAAATTTCAAAAACTGAAAACTTTACATTGAAAGCTTGAAAATCTGTAAATCGAAGAATTGAAAAATCTAAAAACTGGAAGATGAAAAGTTGCAAATTAAAAAATTGAAGAAAGGAAAAATTGAATAATTGAAAAATAAAAAAAATTTGAAAAAAAAATTGAAAACTCAGAAACGAAACTTAAAAATTTAAAATTGCAAACTGAAAAAACTACAAGAAGAAACGAAAAGTTATAAAACTGAAAAATTGTTAAATAGAAAAATCGTATAATCGAAAAATTGCATATCGATAAATTGGTGAGAACAAAAATAAAAAATTTAAAAGTTAAAAAATGAAAAATTGAAAAATAAAAAATTGATAACTGTGGCATTGGAAATCGAAAAATTATAGAAACAAAAAATTGTACAATCAAAAACTTAAAAAAAATGCAAATCCAAAAACTGAATAATTAAAAATTTCAGAAACTGAAAAATCAAAAGTCCAAAAATTAAAGAAACGAAACCCGGAAAAACTGATTAAGTGAAAAATAGTAAATTACAAATAGAAAATCGAAAATTGGAAAATTGAAAAATCGGAAAATTAAAAACCAAAAATCGATCCACTGTAAAATTGAATACTCGAAAATCTGCAAATCGAAAAACTGAAGAATCGAAAAATTAATAAATCGAAACATTTTGAAAATTTCAAAAGCTGAAAAACCAAAAATTGAAAACTAATCTAAAAACTTGAAAAAATTGTATGAGAAATTATAAATCGAAAAACTGAACAAACGAAAAATCCAAAAGTTGAAATGTAAGAAATTTAAAAATTTAAAGTTGTAAACTGGAAAGACCGAAAATCGAAAATTGAAGAAACGAAAAGCTAAAAATTAAAAAATTGAAAACTTTAAAAGTTAAAAAATAAAAAGTTGAAAACTCGAAACACTACAAACCGAAGAATTGAAGGAACAAAACACTGAAAAATCGAATAATCGATCAACTAAAAAATTGAAAACTCGAAAAATTGGAAATTGCAAATCCAAGAATTGGATAATGAAAAATTTTGGAAATTGAAAAATGAAAAACTGAAAACATTAAATTGAAACCTTGAAAAACTTCAAATCGAAATGTTTAGACAAAAATTGAAGAAAAATTGCAAAATTTAAACGAAAACTAATTAATCGAAGAATGAAAAATTGAGAAATCGGAAAATTAGAAATCAAGAAACTGAAAAATCAAATAATTGAACAACGAAAAACTGAAAAATAGTTCAATTGGAGAACGGAAAACTCAAAGATCTGCAAACTGAAGTCGAAAAATTGAAGAAGTATATAGATTGAAAAATCCAAAAATTGGTAAAACGAAATATTGTAGATTGGAATATTGAACTACTGAAACTTTTAAAGCGGAAAAATCAAAAATTTAAATATTGAAAAGCTGCAAATTGAAAAATTGCCAGCTGAAAAAATGAAGAAATGAAAAATTAAAAAATCCGAAAATTGAACAATTTAAAATTAAACACCACTGAAATACCGGGCCTAAGTGAGGAAACGAAACACTGGAAAATCGAATGATCGATCAATTGAAAAACTGTAAATTGTAAATCGGAAATTAAAAAATGGAAAACTAAAGTATCGGAAGATTAAAAACCATGAAACTGAAAAACTGAAAAATTGGAAACTTGAAAAAGTGCTAATCGAAAATTTGGTAGTCGAAAAATTAAAGAAGCAAGAAACTAAAAAGTCGAGAAATGAAAAATTGTAAAATCGAATAATTGAAAAAACAAAAAATTGCAAATCAAAAAATTCAATAATCGAAATGTCCAAAGCTGAAAAATTAAAAATTTAAATCTTTAAGAGCTGTAAATCCAAATTTGCCAGTTGAAAAATTGAAAAATCGCAAGATATCAAGGTGGAAAATTTGTCAATGGAAAAACTGAAGGAACGAAAAATTTAAAATTAAATTTAATTATTATTATTATTATTATTTAATTAAATTTAACAATTTAAAATTGAAAACTCATTGGGGAAATGAAACAATGGAAAATCGAAAGATCGATCATATAAAAATCTGTAAATTGTAAATCGAAAATCGAAAAATGGAAAAGTAAAAAATCGGAAAATTAAAAATCATGCAACTGAAAAATCGAAAAATTAAAAACGAAAATTTGAAAAAGCAAACATTTATCAACTAAAAAATTGGAAACTCTAAAAAGTGCAAATCGAGAATTTGGTAATCGAAAAATTAAAGAATCAAGAAAATGGAATAATTGAAAATTTCAAAAGCTGAAAAATAAAAAATTGAAAATTTGAAATAATGCGAATCGAGAAAACTCAAAGAAAAGAAAAATTTTAATACAGAAAATTCGCAAATCGAAAAATAGAATAATTGTAAGTTTCAAAAGCCGAAAAATCAAAAACTCAAGAGTAGAAAAATTGGAAAATGATAAACTAAAAATAATCAAGCAACTGAAAAATCGAAAAATTCATAATCGGAAAAATGTTAAGTCGAAAACTTTGACAATTAAATAAAATTTTAATATACGGAGTGTTTATAGAAAATTCTAAAATTCAATTTCCAAATATATCTATAGGTACTCCAGTTTGTGCAAATAGAACACTGTATACGTTATTATTGCATCTTACTCTATTTTTTGTGCTGTATGTTTCAATATGTCGGTGAGTGTCTTATATATAAAATCTTCATTAATTTTCTTTAAACTCTTTTTGTATTAAGGCTCAATTTTATTTATACTACAACATAGTATCGGATTTCAAAAATAACCCTATTGACATTTATTTGTAAAATTTGCTATAAAAATCAAGAAAATTGGAATAACGTGGCAACGTTACATCGAAATTTCAAAAAGTCAATCAGAATCTGAAAAAATATACAGGTTATTCCATTTGAAAAAATTAAAGAAGTGTGTCTTAAAAACCGAACAATCTATAGCTGAACTGTAGAACTGTTGTAGAATTGTACAACGTTAGTCTTTTGACTTTTTGATATTGCTGATTGACGGTATGGTGACGACGCTCTGTGACCTTGAAGTGTCAAAAAATTTTAAATAACGTGCAAAAGAAACAGAAATCAATGATTTTGGTTCTAAACAGATAGTAGATTTGAAATGTCAAAATGACATATGTCTTAAATAAATCCTCGTCGTTCACCTACCCCCACTACTACTGTGACTCTACATTCCAGATAGAGAGAACAGGACCCTCCACCACGCCTGCTCCGTCGGAAACTACGACCTCGCCATCGCTCTCATCGGCACCGGCGTCGACGTCAACGCCCCCAACGAAAAAAACGAGCTCCCCCTCCACCAAGCCTGCCTATGGAACCGACGCGAAATCGTCACTCTCCTCCTGAAAAAAGGCGCCGACATCAACAAATCCAATTCCGAGGGCGAAACGCCCCTCCACATCGCTTGCAACCAAGGCGACAACGATCTCGTCAAACTACTGATCAACAACGGAGCCCAGTTGGACCTGGTGGACAAGTCCCAAGAAACCGCGCTCTTCAAAGCCTGCGCCAACTCCAACTACGACATCGTCAAGACCTTGATCGAAAGCGGCGCCTGCTTGAACATCCCGGAGAGCCAGTACGGCTACGTGCCGTTGCACCGAGCCTGCGCACACGGCATCTACGGGATCGCGGAGCTCATGCTCGACCACGACGCCGAGATCGACGCCCGGGATAACTACATGCAGACGCCGCTGTTCCGGGCGTGCGAAGCGGGCGACGCGGATATCCTCCAGCTGCTGGTGGAGGAGGGCGCGAGGGTCAACGTCGTGGACTTCGAAGGGGCCACGGCGGCTCACCTGACAGCGAAGTACCAGAACGTGCAGATCTTGAGGATTCTGGCGGAGTATGGGGCCAAGTTGGATGTGCAGGACTTGGATGGAAGCACGCCCTTGCACCAGGCCAGCAAAGAAGGAAACTTGCCGGTGGTTCAATTTCTGGTGGAGAGAAACGTCAACGTAAACTCGCAGGACATGCAAGAGCAGTGTCCGCTGCATCTAGCTGCCTATCGGGGACACGACAAAATCGTGTCCCTTTTGTTGGAAAATGGGGCTTGGGTGAACTCCGTGGATGAGGGTGGACAAACCCCTTTGCATGCAGCTTGTTACTGGGGTCAAGCTGACGTCGCCAAAATCCTGATTGAGAAAGGGGCTTCCCTGGATAAAATTGACGAAGATGGTAAAGCACCCATTCACTATTGTGTTATCAAGGAACACTTTAAGGTCATTAAAATTTTGCTCGAATGGGATAGTTCCCAACTCAGTTTGGTGGATGGGTTGAATTACACGCCGCTGCACTTAGCTTGCGAGAATGGGGATTTGGAGATGGTCAAATTGCTGGTTGACCATGGGGGAGGGGTGAATCTCGCTGGGAAGGTGGGTCAGACGCCCATGCACTTGGCTTGTCGGTATGGGTTGGTGGAGATTGCGCAGGAGTTGCTTGGAAGGGGCGGCGATTTGAATATGGTCGATGATAATGGGAACCGACCCAGAGATCTGGCCAGGATTTTTGACCATGTGGACGTACTTGATTTCTTAGATGGTGTACATGTTGAAAGCGAATAACCCATGAGCAAGAAGACAAAGAGTTAATGGTCTTGTTGTGTCATAATAATTTGTAATGTAGTAAGGTTGTGAATTTTGATAAAGTGTTTTACGAGTAATTTGGGTACTTTTTTTCTCTAGGTTTTTTGGAATTATATTCACGATTATTATTGAAATTAATACGTTTGAACAACTTATATTGAATTATTTTATTCAGTGTGATGGTTATTGTAGGACAAATTAAACGGATTTATTCCGTATGCATAATTTGCAAAAAATATTTTGAGGTTATGTTGCTCCTGTGTGTCGATTTTAGTGAATTTTTTGTTAGTAAAATCTCATTCAAATGCTATCTTCTAAATAAATAAACAGGAAAATCCAAAAATTAAGAAATTTAGAAATCGAGAAGATAAAAACCTGAAAAACTGAAAATTAGGAAATCCAAAAATTGGAAAAACGAATAATAAAAAAAAAACAAAAGTTGAGAAATCGAAAAAACGAAAAATTGAAATAGCCCAAATTCGATAAATCGAAACTTCGAAAATTGTAAAATCGTGAAACCGATATAATTTGAAAAAACAAAAATCTAAAATTTGAACATGTAAAGATAGTGAAATCGAAAAGTGAAGAAATCGAACAACTGAAAAACAAAAATCAAAATAACCCAAATTTGATAACAGAAACATCGAAATCTCGAGAAACCAAAAAATCGTAAAGTCGAAAAATTGGAAAACATGATAAATTCCAAAACTGAAATATTGAAAAGTTTACATATACATAAGAAAATCCAAAAATTGAAAAATTGAAAAATCGAAAATTGAAAAAATAGAAAAATTGAGACCATAAAAACCTGAAAAATTGAAAAATTGACAAATTGGGAAATCGAAAAATCGAAACATCGAAAAATTGGAAAAACGAAAAAATTAAAAATCCAAAAGCCGAAAAATCGAAAAAAATGCAAAATGAAAAATCGAAAATTGAAAATTTGAAATCAAAAATCGGAGAAATCGAATACCTGAAAAACAGAAATCAAAATAACCCGAATTCGACAAATCGAAACATGGAATTCTCGAGAAATAAAAAAATAGAAAGTCGAAAAATCACAATTTTGAATGATCAAAAAATTCAAAATTGGGAAATTGAAACATTGCAAAGTTGAAAAATTGGAAAATTAAAAATCAAGAAATCGAAATATCGAAAAGTTGAGAAATCGAAAAACCGTAAATTGAATCGACATGAAAAATTCCAAAAATGAAATATTGAAAAATTTATAAGTCCCTAAATAGGAAAATCCAAAAATTGGAAAATTGAGAAATCGAGAAGTCGAAAAATCGAAAAATCGAAAAATCGGAAATCGAAAAAATCGATAATTGAGAATGTAAGAACCTGAAAAATTGAAAAATTGAAAAATCGAAACATCAAAAAATTGGAAAAACGAAAAATCAAAAAATTCAAAAATCGAGAAATCGAAAAGTCGAAAAATTGAAAAATCGAGACACTGGACCATGAAAAATTCGAGAATTCGAAATAGCCCAAATTCGATAAATCGAAACGTCGGTCATTTGAAAATCGGGAAATTGAACAGTTGCAGAAACATCGAAAACTCGATAAATCGAGAAATCCAAAAAATCAAAAATTTGGTACATCAAAAATCTAAATTAAACATTGAGAAATTGAAACTTGAAAAGATCGAGAAATCGAAAAGTGGAGAAACCGAAAAACTGAAAGAAAAAAATCAAAATAACCCAAATTTGAGAAATCGAAACATCGAAATCTGGAGAAATCAAAAAATCTAAAAGTCGAAAAATTGAAATTTTGGAGAATAAAAAAATAAAAAATTGAGAAATCGAAACACCAAAAAACTGAAATATTGCAAAACTGAAATCCAAAAAATGGAGAAATAGAAAAGTCGTAAAACCGTAAATTGAATGGACGTATGATAAATTCCAAAACTGAAATATTGAAAAACTTATAAGTCCGTAAATAGAAAAATCAAAAAATTGAAAAATTGAAAAATCGAAAATTGAAAAAATATAAAAATTGAGACCATAAAAACCTGAAAAATTGAAAAATAGGGAAATCGAAAAATCGAAACATAGGAAAATTGGAAAAACGAAAAACTAAAAAGTCCAAAAGCCGAAAAATCGAAAAAAATGCAAAATAAAAAATCGAAAATTGAAAATTTGAAAAATCAAAAATCTAAATTTTGAACATCGAGAAATTGAAATTTGAAGAGATCGAGAAATCAAAAAGTGGAGAAATCGAAAACCTGAAAAACATAAATCAAAATAATCCGAATTCGACAAATCGTAACATGGAATTCTCGAGAAACAAAAAAATTGAAAAGCCGAAAAATTGAAAAATCAAAAAACTTAACATTTAAAAAATCAAAAAACTAAAAAATTGAGAAAATAAAAAAATAGAAAGTCGAAAAATTAAAATTTTGAATAATCAAAAAGTTCAAAATTGAAAAATTGAAACACCCAAAAAATTGAAACACTGCAAAGTTGAAAAATTGAGAAACTGAAACAGCAAAAAAATTGAAACATTGTAAAGTTGAAAAATTGGAAAAATAAAAATCAAGAAATCGAAATATCGAAAAGTTGAGAAATCGAAAAACCGTAAATTGAATCGACATATGTATGTATGAAAAATTCCAAAACTTAAATATTGAAAAATTTATAAGTCCGTAAATAGAAAAATCCAAAAATTGGAAAATTGAGAAATCGAAAAGTCGAAAAATCGAAAAACAGAAAAATCGAAAAATCGGAAATTGAAAAAATCGATAATTGATAAGGTAAGAACCTGAAAAATTGAAAAATCAAAACACCAAAAAATTGGAAAAACGAAAAACTAAAGTCCAAAAGCCGAAAAATCGAAAAAAATGGAAAATGAAAAATCGAAAAATTGAAAATTTGAAAAATCAAAAATCTAAAATGTGAACAATAAGAAATTAAAATTTGAAGAGATCGAGAAATCAAAAAGTGGAAAAATCGAAAACCTGAAAAACAGAAATCAAAATAACCCAAATTCGACAAATCGAAACTTGGAATTCTCGAAAAAAAAAAACCGAAAAGTCGAAACATTGAAAAATCAAAAAACTTAAAAATAAAAAATAAAAAAACTAAAAAATCGAGAAAATAAAAAATCGAAAAGTCGAAAAATCAAAATTTTGAATAACCAAAAAATTCAAAATTGACAAACTGAAACATCAAAAAAATTGAAACATTGTAAAGTTGAAAAATTGGAAAAATAAAAATCAAGAAATCGAAATAACGAAAAGTTGAGAAATCGAAAAACCGTAATTGAATCGACATATGTATGAAAAATTCCAAAACTTAAATATTGAAAAATTTATAAGTCCGTAAATAGAAAAATCCAAAAATTGGAAAATTGAGAAATCGAAAAGTCGAAAAATCGAAAAATAGGTAAATCGAAAAACCGGAAATTGAAAAAATCGGTAATTGAGAAGGTAAGAACCTGAAAAATTGAAAAATTGAAAAATCAAAACATCAAAAATTGGAAAAACGAAAAACTAAAAAGTCCAAAAGCCGAAAAATTGAAAAAAATGGAGAATAAAAAATCGAAAAATTGAAAATTTGAAAAATCAAAAATCTAAAATGTGAAGAATAAGAAATTAAAATTTGAAGAGATCGAGAAATCAAAAAGTGGAAAAATCGAAAACCTGAAAAACAGAAATCAAAATAACCCAAATTCGACAAATCGAAATTTGGAAGTCTCGAAAAAAAAAACCGAAAAGTCGAAACATTGAAAAATCAAAAAAATTAAAAATAAAAAATAAAAAAAACTAAAAAATCGAAAAAATAAAAAATCGAAAAGTCGAAAAATCGAAATTTTGGGGAATCAAAAAATTAAAAATTGAGAAATTGAAACACCAATAAAATTGAAACATTGCAAAGTTGAAAAATTGAAATAAATAAAAACTCAAGAAATCCAAATATCGAAAAGTCGGAAAACCGTAAATTGAATCGACATATGAAAAATTCCAAAACTGAAATACTGAAAAATTTATAAGTCTGTGAGTAGAAAAATCCAAAAATTGAAAAATGGAGAAATCGAGAAGTCGAAATACGAGAAGCAGAAAAATCGAAAAATTGAAAAGATAAAAACTTGAAAAACTGAAAAATTGAAAAATTGAGAAGTAGAAAAATCGAATCATCGAAAAATTGAAAAATCGAAAAATCAAAAATTCAAAAGTCGAGAAATCGAAAAATCGAAAAATTAAAATATTGAGACACTAGGGCATGAAAAAAACTTTAAATTCAAAAAATCAATAAACGAAAAAATCGAGAAAATAAAACAATTGAAAAGGCGAAAAATCAATATTTTGAAGAATCAAAAAATTCAAAATTGAAAAATTGAAACACCAAAAAAATTGAAACATTGCAAAGTTAAAAAACCTAGAAAATAAAAAATCGAAAATTCGAAAAGTCGAAATTTTGGGGAATCAAAAAATTCAAAATTGAGAAACTGAAACACCAAAAAAATTGAAACATTGTAAAATTGAAAAATTGGAAAAATAAAAATCAAAAATTCGAAATATCGAAAAGTCGAGAAATCGAAAAACCGTAAATTGAATCGACATATTTATGAAAAATTCCAAAACTTAAATATTGAAAAATTTGTAAGTCCGTAAATAGAAAAATCCAAAAATTGGAAAATTGAGAAATCGAGAAGTCGAAAAATCGAAAAACAGATAAATCGAAAAATCGGAAATTGAAAAAATCGATAATTGAGAAGGTAAGAACTTGAAAAATTGAAAAATTGAAAAATCAAAACATCAAAAAATTGGAAAAACGAAAAACTAAATACTCCAAAAGCCGAAAAATCGAAAAAAATGGAAAATAAAAAATCAGAAAATTGAAAATTTGAAAAATAAAAAATCTAAAATGTGAACAACAAGAAATTGAAATTTGAAGAGATCGAGCAGAAATCAAAAAGTGGAAAAATCGAAAACCTGAAAAACAGAAATCAAAATAACCCGAATTCGACAAATCGAAACATGGAATTCTCGAGAAATAAAAAAATCGAAAATTCGAAACATTGAAAAATCAAAAAAACTTAAAAATGAAAAATCAAAAAACTAAAAAATCGAGAAAGTAAAAAAATGAAAAGTCGAAAAATCTAAATTTTGAAGAATCAAAAAATTCATAATTGAAAAATTGAAACACCAAAAAAATTGAAACATTGCAAAGTTGAAAAATCGTGAAAATAAATAATCGAAAAGTCGAAAAATCGAAATTTTGGGGAATCAAAAAATTCAAAATTAAGAAACTGAAACACCAAAAAAATTCAAACATTGTAAAGTTGAAAAATTGGAAAAATAAAAATCAAGAAATCGAAATATCGAAAAGTCGAGAAATCGAAAAACCGTAAATTGAATCGACACATGTATGAAAAATTCCAGAACTTAAATCTTGAAAAATTTATAAGTCTGTAAATCGGCAAATCCAAAAACTGGAAAATTGAGAAATCGAAAAGTCGAAAAATCGAAAAATAGATGAATCGAAAAATCGGAAATTGGAAAAATTGAAAAATCGAAACATCAAAAAATTGGAAAAACGAAAAATCAAAATTTTGAAGAATCAAAAAATTGAAAATTGAAAAATTGAAACACCAAAAAAATGGAAACATTGCAAAGTTGAAAAATCGAGAAAATAAAAAATCGAAAAGTCGAAAAATCTAAAGTTTGCTAAATAAATCCTGTCTAAAATACACAAAATATGATGAGTATGTACTTGTAATTTATCACTCCATTCATATTTTTTTGATTTGCATATACAGGGTGACTCAAAAAAATTAATGAATGCGTAAATTAATTTTATTGATTTAATCAGGAACCACAAAACCGAATGCTTTGAAATCTTGCAGATGTTTTAAGGTTATAAAGAGCATAATAAATGTTTAGTCAAAATATATTTGCTTATCCCCTCCACAAACTTGATGACGTCAGCTCAAAAGTTTGCCGAATAAATCATATCTAAAATGTACAAAATATGATGAGTCTGTACTTGTGATCTATCACTCCATTCATATTTTTTAGATTTGCATATACAGGGTGACTCAAAAAAATAATGAATGCGTAAACTTATTTTATTGATTTACTCAGGAACTACAAAACCGAATTCTTTGAAATCCACTGCGAAAAAAAAACAAAACATAATAGGCATGCAGTCGTCACGTTTCCGACAGCGAGGGAAGTACTGTCTAAACTCTTTAGACCAATTTTTTTTTTTTTTGCCTTAAATCGTCACGGGTCGCCGGTTCACCAGGGTCATCTATTCGCCTACCAACGAGCTGCCGCCGCCCCCCCAATTTATATTCATTTTTTTGTACATACAAATCCTCATTATATACGTGATTACACCGGGTATTCGTTGCTTCTCCCTTTTTTCCCTTTCCTTCCTTTTCTTCTCTTTATTCTACTTATTCTACTCCTCTTTCTTTCTCTTCTTCGGCTTTCCTGTCATCTTTTTTTCTGTGTGCCCTCTCATGGCACACTGGCGCCCAAGGCAAAGACAGTTGATCGACCCATCACCCCGCGACGACGAAGGAGCTCGCCTGGCCGTTAGAAGGACGTCACAATTTTTTCGACTTAAGTAAAGCGTTTGATCGCGTTTCACAACAGATATTAATAAGGAAGTTACTACTTTATGATTTTCATCCAGGTAGTACTAAGTTGATATCCAACTTGAGCAGCAGAACACAGTACGTTAAAATTAATGACAAATTATATGGTTGTGTTAAAATCGTCCACAGAGTTCCGCAAGGTTCTATTTTGGGGCCAGTTTTAGTTTTAATACATATTAATGATTTACCTGAATATCTAATAGATAGACATGTTTCTTTGTATGTGGGCGATACTATAATAAGCGCTAAAAATTTAAAACTAAGCAAGATATTGATAACAAAAAATTTAAGATTACTTGGCTGGCTGACGATTGGTCTATTGGGAACCAATTAAATTTAAATAAGAATAAATCTCAAGAACGAAAACCTTACACCTGAAATAGATTTTTGTTTTTGGAATCGCTAATATATCCAGTTTCGCATCGTTAACTACTTCATTTATTTCTATTTAACAGAACGTAACTCCAAAACGGCACAAGAATCGGCATTTTCGTTTAAAGCAGTCGATTCGTGAAAGTTTTGTTATATTGTTAGCAAAGTTTCAGCTCTATGCTTCCATTTTTCATAAAAGAAGTATATTGTATGCATAAAAATATTTCTAGTTAATTAAGACATGATCTAACTTGACATGAATTGACCTGACCTGATGTAACCTGCCCTGACATGACCTGACCCGACTTGACTTAACTTTCTCCGTTGTCTCAAATGAACAAACTTTAAACTTTGTCGATTTGTACAGCAAATGTCCATAGTCAATTATGTGGACTTACAACTGCTGGACTGTCTAGTACTGTCCACATTGTGTACAGATTAAACGTCCCATAAATCACCCAATTACCCATAAACATTTTCATTACCACTTCGATTCAATTTTCAGGCAAATGGAGTGCACTCCATACAGCTTGTCTCACAAACGACTGGGTCAAGGTCAGATCCCTCCTCGATGAGGGTGAGAACATCCACGTCAGAAGCAGATTAAGACTAACCCCACTCCACGCAGCTTGCATAAGAGGCAACATGGACGTCATAGAGTTACTTCTCCAAAGAGGCGCCGACCCCAACGCCCTCGATGCACACTGTAATACACCTTTGCATGTGCTTTGCATGAAGGACGACCCCTTCCTCGTCAAATTGTTAATCCGGAAGGGTGCCCAAGTAAACGCCATGACCTTGGACGGCCAGTCACCACTTTCTTACGCCTGTCGAAAGGGCAACTACCAAACCGTCCGGATTCTCATTCTGCATGGGGCTTCTCTAAACATCAGAATTGAAAATGGGCAGACACCTCTGCACAAAGCTTGCGCCGACTGCAATGTGGAAGTATTGACGTTAATGCTGATGATGCGGGCCTTGCTCAACATAGAGGATTATTCCGGGAGGACTGCGCTCCACATAGCGTGTGAAAGTGGGTTCGAGAATATTGTTACGCTGCTAATAAAAACTGGGGTTCTGGTTAATGGCAGAAACTTGAATGGGGAGACGCCTCTGCATTTGGCTTGTCGACAAGGACTTGATGCGATTGTCAGAATTTTGCTGGAGACGGACGTCGATATGAGTGCCAAAAACGGTCAAGGGTGGACACCTTTGCATCTAGCGTGTATGAAAAACCACCTCGAAATCGTTCGTCTTTTGGTGGCAAAGGGAGCTTCTGTATACGATGTTAATAATTACACTGGAAAATCCTCTCTTCATGCTGCTTGTATGGGGGGCAACATTTTTATAATCAAATTTTTGATACAGAAAGGAGTTTTTGTGGATAGTAGAGACATTGAAGGCAAGACTCCACTACACTACTGCGCAAGCGTAGGTCAGCACGCAACGGCGAAACGGTTGATACAGTTTGGTGCCCAAGTGAACGCTGCAGACCACTTTAACAACACACCGCTACATAGCATCTGTGAATACGGGAATCTGCCGACATTAACTCTGCTTCTTGATAGTGGGGCAGTACTGGATGTTTTTGGGAAGTTGGACAAGACACCCTTACATTTAGCCTGTGAAAATGGGTTCTACAGGGGTGTGGAAGCTTTGGTCGCATCTGGTGCAAATAAATACGCGGTGGACGCAAACGGACGAACACCTCTACAGGTGTCAAGGACTAAGAAAATATATTACTTTTTAGGCAATGAAATTGTTGGAGAACGTGCTATTCCGCCGACATTTAATGAAACGACACAAATTAGAAACTGAAGAATTTTTGTGTGGTGGCATGATTGTAATTTTGCAGTTTTTTAATAAAGGGGCATAGATGAATTTTTTTCTTGCTGTTAATAATTATGGAAAAGAGACAGGAAGGTTAGAGTACGATTCTATATTTGACAAGACAGCAGAATTTGGCCCCAGGAAATTATCAGACCGTAAATAGTTAATGTTTGTATTGATGAGGCTGATACGTGTTTAAACTCCATATTAATTTTAATAATAATGAAAAAACTTTCAGAGTTTAAAAAAATATATTTGTAGTCACTGCTACACGTGTTTCGATACACAGTACCGTCTTCAGAGAAACAGTTTCTCTTCTGCCTGAAGACGGTACTGTGTACCGAAACACGTGTAGCAGTGACTACAAATATATTTTTTTAAACTCTGAAAGTTTTTTCATTATTATTAAAAGTAAATGGTTAACTCTAAACACAGGAAATATGGATACATATCTCATTAGATTATAAAAAAAGTTGCTGAAGCATTATTATTAACAGATGATATCAAAACTGACAGGCTTTTCTTAATAACAAATTCTGCTTGGTAACAATCTGGAACCTGGTTCAAAAATTGTCCGGTGGGACCACAAATCGTCGGTAACTAGTTGCAAAATTCTGCAAAATAAATAGGAATTGAAAGTAATTTAAAAACAACAAATCATTTTCTTCATTTTTGTCTTTTTTACCAAAATTTCAACTGTTTCTCTTTGCTTTTTAGTTGTAGTCTAAGTATTTTTTCCATCTTCTATTTCTTGACTTCAATCTTTCTGTTTCTTACACCATTTTGTTGGATTTTAACGTCAGTTAAAAAGTTCGCAATGACGTTGTGACACATGGTAGATGAACAGGCGTTTTCTGCAGCTATCTTCAACAGTTGAACCATCTCAAAAACTGAAGGTAGTGGTGGTCCTTATACAACACTACAGCGTGAATTGGCGACTTTTTTGCCAAAATCAAAACAAAGAAAAACCGAATCTTGTAATATTTCTCTTCAAAAGTGAAGTTTTGAATGTGAAGGTGGTTATTTTTTTTAAGAGATTGTTACTCTTTATGTCGTTGCTTATTTTACCTATTATATTATAGGAACTAGCTTCATTACAATAAGTACACAACATAAAAAGAAGTGTTTATTGTTCTTAACTAGATTTATTATACAATTATTTAAAAAATCAAATTTTTAACAACCTTTAAATTTTAACACATTTTGAAACAGAATTACCTCTATCCTCTATCCTTGTTTTTATATATATCACCAAACAATAAAATTTATGAACTAATAGTACATCTAGAGTATCCATATGCAGCGAATGTAAATTCCACTGGACGAATATAATACTTATTTTAATCCCTTGTAAAATGCAGCTGATCTTTTACAGGGTTTGAGAAAAGTTTACGTGTATTGTAAAAATATATCGCAAAAACTTTTGTTAGAGCGTCAAGAATAATTTCGTGTTACCGGGAAATCTAAGAAATGTAGGTACTTATGCCACTAAAACTTACTTTTTAATTATTATTTTGTGACTAGTTTTATACTGAAGAAAAATTAAGTTGTACCATATGTGGGTGTAAAAAGTAGGTACATATACAGGGTTAGTCACGAGAAAATTACTTCTGAACATTATTTTTACGCAACCCAAAATTACGAATACCGTGTACCACTTGATACTAACTGAATTTTAAATGAAATGCTTAATCCATAATTGCTTCGAGTTTGGCAATGTCATTTTGACAATTCTGAAAAAGGAGGTTACGCGAGTGTCCATGGTGGTACCGCAGCCAGCTGGAAATCTCTGCTGGCGCCGCTAATAAGTTTGTCAGGGCTTGCTTCGAGTGCCTCTTGATCTTTTGCAACCGATTAATCACGAGAAAATTATTTCTAAAAATTCCTTTTACTATAGATGTTTCTGTGACGTGTAAAACAGATCTTAGATCTAAAAAAAAGGAAGAAATAATTGGTTCGGAGTTTTCCATTTATGACCCTGCTACGGGCTGCTACCTGATTTTATTATTCTCCGCCATTTGCATCATAAAAAAATTTACAACATGGGTTGGAGAAGATTAAAGCCGCAGTTTACATCTGCCCACCTAGATCCGGCAGATTAGGCAAATAATTGTGAGTGAATAGTCGGCCTTCCCTCAATAAACTTTTCAAACTTCCCAAACTAAAAATTAGTCACGCCATTGCGAATAACCACTACTCAGTGGCGTCGTCATCCTGGTTGTTTCTACTTTTCAACGGTATTCACTGTTTGTATTACTTGTCACTCGTGATGTATTGATTGATTTAAATATTTTAAATAATATTAATTAATAGGTAATTAAATCTGTTATGTGCGTTGTTTTATTCAACAATTTTTATTCCATGAGTCGCTTCAAAAAAAAAAAGACTGTACGTCACTGTCATCGGCAGTCTTATCTGGGTAATGAGGGGTACTGTTTATGACACTTTACCGGTTTGGCTCGAAACCATCATCATTTTAAGTCTGGTACTTCCTCCAGTATGAGTACATTCTTTGCTCCATGATCAAAACTAATCTTTTTACGATCTTGTTTACAGAAATGGCGTAAAAGTGGAGATTGGTATGTAGGTACTTAGCAAAGGGAATGAGATAATTTATTCCTTTTTTCGTATCTACAAGCGCCTCATTAACAGTGTGAGTGTTCAAAAAAGTTCTGAATGAAAAAACATCTTTGGTTTTATTATGGATTAAAGATAATCCAGAACTAATTTGTAGTGACCAAAAAAATTTTCTGCAAAGAATGCAGTAAACTCCAAGATTAATTGTTAATTTATAAATTCAAATTTCTTTGCACTAAATTTATAATAGTTAATAAAAAGAAATATATATTTAATTTTTTAAACTATCAAACGTAATGAAAATAATACTTTTTCACTTAAAACTGTAACGAGAGTTTTTTCACGATTTCATTGACTAAGATAAATCCATAAATTTTTAATTTGACGGTTGTAATAATTTTAAAGCCATTTTTTATTTAAAAAAAATGACGCGTGTAACACGTTTTGAAAGCTATTTTTTTCACTCGTTTAATTGACAAACTTTAAACTTGTGAGAAAAAAAGCATGAATCACTTACTTGAGTGTCTAATTAATAATTTATCTCTGTAACTTTCACTTATTTGTCTAAATACAATGCCTCCTGGTGATCCTGACGAGGCTTCGAATACTTTGAACCTTACAAGTACTTCGACTAATTATCTACCCTGTAAAAAATGTAAAGCTCTTCCTGTTGGTAGTATGGTCTGCATTAAATGCAATTCTCTTAATCATCCCAGCTGCGTAAAACTTTTAAAAAATATTCAAATTTCCGACAAGTCGTCTGTGATTTGTTGTAATGATAAAAGTTATTTCCACCCTGATCTGAAAGAGCCTTTTGCCAAGGACTCAGACCATGCTGATTTATATGTTCCTACCTTGGATAAGGACCTAAAAAGCTTATTACTGTCGGCTATTAATCCCTTGATGGATGAAATTAAGATCCTCAGAAATGAAGTAAATATATTGAAAGAAAGTAATATACACAGGGGCGGCTCATGACTTGAAAAGTTGATGAGGCAAAGCACAATACGCTCCAAAATATAAATAAATCAAGATTACTTAAATATTTTCTACTTAGTCAAATAAACAAATTTGTAAACTCATTTAACTGTCCACCAAGAACCAACGTGAAGGTGTAAGGAACTCTTGTAAGGAAAGGATGGGAATGACAGGACAAAAGGAAAGGGAAACGTGGGCAGAAAAAACTAATAGGTATAACTTAAAAAAAAAAAAATTAAAATAAACTTTAAAGAAAACATATCGAAAAAAATCAAATACAACATAAAATAAACCTATTTGATTTATAACAAAAAACAAAACGAAAAACATATAAAACATAAATACTCTGGATTTATTTTAAACTTTTTTATAGATCAATAATTAACGATTTACGCAAATCAGGAACCGGCCGTTTTAATTCCTTAACTACATACAATTTATCATCATACGTGAAAGTAGAAAAAACAGAACTGCTATTGTCATTTAACGTTAGTAGAGAAAAATTCCGATTTACTCGTAATCTTAAATAACGATTACCGAAATCAAATTATGACAAGCACAAAGCACTAACGCGACACACACAAACGTAGGCACTTTTAAGACAAAATTCTGTTACCGAAATTTTGAATCAATTTATATACACACAGATTTGTGGCAAAACAATCAACGGCCTAATTTTGAATACTTCTGCAAATGCAGACTGCATTGTAATCGCACGTTCTCCGCGCGCAAATATTGTTGTCCATCTCTTTTGCAAGCACGGAAATGAGGCTAGCCTCAATTTTGTCTTTATTCAACTCATACCGCTTATGAGTGTATTGCAGGTTGCTTGCCTATTAACGATATGATTTCTATATCCGCTGTAGAGGCAAGCTCCGAGTTTGCCTCATTCGCGTCACAAAATACATGTTGTGTCGAGTGTTTCAGCGCGCTGTTTAATTAAGGGAGCAACGAGTACCTACTGAGATAAAAATAAGAATATAATTTTCCATATTTATTTTTAAAATTTTAGAAAAAAGACACAAATTATTGGCCGAAATGTGTCGTTAAAAAATAGTAAAAATCCTAATAAGGCGTAAAATTCATTGGTGAGGCACTGCCTCACCTGCCTCATAGGACAAGCCGCCCCTGAATATACAGTTTGTTCACCTTTTACTTTCATCCGGTACTAGTAACAATCAGTGTCTAAATACACATGCCGCAACTGTCTCACCTGCTAAAGTTTATGTAGAAAATACTCCTATTGCCTTTCCTACCTATGATGTAGATAGCGAAGTGAATCACAACCTATTTTACCAATCTAAACCTAATACTCTGAACAACATTCCGGGAAATAATGATTTGGAGTGGACTCAAGTTGATTCGCGTCGCAATAAGAAGAAAAAATTAAATACAAATACAGATATAGTTTCACCCAATATTCTGTTGAAGAA